ACACAAAAAAACTACAGACCTGAATAAACAATTTGGAAGACAGATCAAGAAGAGGAAATTTGAAAATTAGAAACATCCCAGAATCCATTACTCAGCACAATCTCAAGAATTATCTGATAAACATGTTTAAATCTTTTGGAGAAACAATTCAAGATCATGATATTATTTTAGAAAGATTCCATCGTCTAAACAAGCCAAACTATTTGGATTCAGATATGCTTAGAGATGTAATCATTCAATTCCACTCTTTTAGCTTCAAAGAAAACATCCTAAAATTGTTCAAAAATTTTAATCATCCGGAGGAAACTCTTGGTTACATAGTTACATAGTTACATAGCTGAAAAGAGACTTGCGTCCATCAAGTTCAGCCTTCCTCACAAATGTTGTTGCTGTTGATCCAAAAGAAGGCAAAAAACCTGGTCTGAAGCACTTCCAATTTTGCCACAAACTAGGAAAAAATTCCTTCTTGACCCCAAAATAGCAGTCAGATGTCTCCTTGGATCAAGCAGCTATTACCCCACTAATTAGAAATTATACCCCTGTATGTTATGTTTTTGTAAGTATTTATCCAATTTCAGTTTAAACATCTGTATGGACTCTGACAAAACCACCTCTTCAGGCAGAGAATTCCATATCCTTATTGTTCTTACTGTAAAAAAACCTTTTCTTTGCCTTAGATGAAATCTCCTTTCTTCCAGCCTAAATGTGTGACCTCGTGTCCTATGTATAACCCTGTTTATGAATAGATTTCCAGATAAAGGTTTGTACTGGCCCCGAATATATTTGTATAAAGTTATCATATCCACTCTCAGGCGCCGTTTTTCCAAACTAAACAGATTTAATTTTTTTAACCTTTCTTCATAACTAAAATGCTCCATTCCTTTTATCAATTTTGTAGCTCGTCTCTGGACCTTCTCCAGTGCCATGATATCCTTCTTTAGAACAGGCGCCCAAAATTGCACAGCATATTCAAGGTGTGGTCTTACCAGCGATTTATAAAGAGGCAAAATTATATTTTCATCCCAAGAATTTATGCCCCTATTTATACATGACAAAATCTTACTGGCCTTAGCAACTGCAGATTGACATTGCATATTGCTGCCTAATTTGTTGTCTATAACAATTCCCAAATCCTTCTCGTGTGTGGTTATCCCTAATTCACTATCATTTAGTGTGTAAGTTGCTTGTGCATTCTTAACCCCGAAGTGCATAACTTTGCATTTCTCTATGTTAAATTTCATCTGCCATTTTAGTGCCCAGTCCCCTAATCTATCCAAATCTCTCTGCAGCAAAGCAATATCCTGCTCACATTTAATTACTTTACAAAGTTTTGTGTCATCTGCAAACACTGATACATGGCTTTCAATGCCTATTTCAAGATCATTTATAAATATGTTAAATAGAAGTGGTCCCAAAACAGAACCCTGAGGGACACCACTTACCACTTTTGTCCAGCCTGAAAATTTACCATTAATTACAACTCGTTGTACTCTGTCCTTAAGCCAATGTTCTACCCAAGAACAGGAATATTCATCTAGACCAATTTATTTTAGTTTGAAGACTAACCTATTGTGAGGAACCGTATCAAATGCCTTGGCAAAGTCCAAGTAGATCACATCCACTGCAACACCCTGATCTATACTTCTACTTACTTCTTCGTAGAATGCAATTAGGTTAGTTTGACATGACCTATGTTTCATAAAACCATGCTGATTATTGCTAATAACAAAGTTCTTCCCAATGAATTCCTGAATATTATCCCTTAATAGCCCTTCAAATATTTTCCCAGTTACAGAAGTTAAGCTCACAGGTCTATAATTTCCAGGCAAGGATTTTGAACCCTTTTTAAATATAGGAACAACATCTGCCTTCCTCCAATCCTCCGGTACAACACCTGAAACAAAAGAATCTTGAAAAATTAAATACAGAGGTTCACTTATTTCCCCACTTAGCTCCTTAAGTACTCGTGGGTGAATACAGTCAGGCCCCGGAGCTTTATTTACATTAATTTTCTTTAATAGCTGTAGCACCTTGTCTCGAGTTATCCAATCACAAGTTATTTGCAAGTTTTTTGCAGCAAACATTTGCATATCTCTTGCCATAGGATCCTCATTAATATATACTGAAGAAAAATAGTTATTTAAAATTTCTGCTTTTTCCTGGTCTTCATTAGCTAATAAACCCAACTCTGTTTCAAGTGTACCTACACTTTAATTTTTTGTTTTTTTAGAATTGATGTACTTGAAAAAATTTTGGGGTTGGTTTTGCATTCTTTAGCTATCAATTTCTCATTTTCTAGTTTAGCCACTTTAATTGCCTTTTTGCAAGTGTTATTGGCTTCCTTATATCTTAAATAGGATGCCTTTGATTTGTCTGATTTAAATGCTTTAAATGCCCTTTTCTTATTTTTAATCTCTTGTTTTACTTCTCTACTAAGCCACATTGGTTTTAATTTGTTTCTTTTATATTTATTACCCAATGGTACATACTGAGAAATGTACCTTTCTAATATATGTTTAAATAGTTTCCATTTATCCTCAGTGTTTTTATCACTAAGGAGTTTATGCCAGTCGATATGTTGTAGACCTGCCTCTTAACCCCTTAAGGACTGGACTGTTTTTGCGATGTTGTACATTTGCGACCAGGCATATTTTTACACTTTTGTGGTGTTTGTGTTTGGCTGTAATTTTCCGCTTTCTCATTTACTGTTCCCATACAAATTATATATTGTTTTTTTCAGGACAAAAGGGGCTTTCTTTACATACCATTATTTATATAATCTCATGTATTTTAATTTAAAAAAAATACAAAAATCTGATGAAAAATTGAAAAAAATACATGTTTTTTGACTTTTACTTGAAAAATCTTTTACTCATCTACAAAAGCGAATGAAAAAAACTGCTAAATAGATTCAAAATTTTGTCCTGAGTTTAAAAATACCTAGTGTTTACGTGCTTTTTTGCTTTTTTTTGCATGTTATAGGGCTATAGGTACAAGTAGGATATTGCGGTTTCAAAACATACATTTTTAAAATTTATCAATAGTGACATTGTAACACTATTATCTGTCATAAATCTCTGAATAACACCCCACATGTACATATTTTTTTTAAAGTAGACAACCCAGGGTATTCAATATGGGGTATGTCCAGTCTTTTTTAGTAGCCACTTAGTCGAAAACACTGGCCAAAGTAAGCATTCATATTTGTTTGTGTGTGAAAAAAGTAAAAAAACTAAATTGAACGCTAATTTTGGCCAGTGTTTGTGACCAAGTGGTTACTAAAAAAGACTGGACATACCCCATTTGCAATACCTTGGGTTGTCTTCTTTTGCAAATGGTATGCCATCATGGGGGTAATTCTCATTCCTGGGCTACCATACGCTCTCAAAGGCAACGTAACCAACCTGGCCATTTTCAATGTAAAAATATTTGACCCATATATTTGACCTTGTAACTTTCAAAAATGCTATAAAACCTGTACATGGGGGGTACTGTTTTACTCGGGAGACATCGCTGAACACAAATATTAGTGTTTAAAAACTGGAAAACGTATCACAACAATTATATCAGTAAAAGTGCTGTTTGTGTGTGAAAAATGCAAAAAAAGTAACTTTCACTGACAATATCATCACTGTGATATGTTTTACTGTTTTGAATCACTAATATTTGTGTTCAGCGAAGTCTCCCGAGTAAAACAGTACCCCCCATGTACAGGTTTTAGGGTGTCGTAGAACGTTACAGGGTAAAATACAGTGCTAGCAAATTAAATTCTCTGGAATTTCGGCCTGGGTTGGCAGGCAGGTCCCTCAAATTGCAATCAATAAAATTACTGAATTATGTAAAAATATTACATAAATACGCACGTAGAATTTAAATATATATGCATATTTATATATTTGAAGTCTACGTGTATATTTATATAATTATTTATGTAATTTTGTATATGGACGTATGTATATTTCTTATTATTTTTATTTATTTTTATATACATAGATATATATACAAATTCATTCTAAGTGTATTTTGATATAAATATATATATATTAATTTTAAAATAGTTAGAATAAAATTTCATATAGCTATATAATTTTTTTAAAATTTTTTATTATTATTTAAAAAATGTTTTATTTAATTTAAATTACTTATTATTTATATTTTATAATAATATATATATACAATATATATATTATATATATATACGTGTGTAATTTAATTATAAGTGTATTTTTATATTAATATAAGTACATATTAATATAAAAATACACTTAGTATGGCATTATATATATGATATATAGACATATTATATAGATATAATATATGTCTATATATCATATATACATATATATATAATTATTTTTATTTTTTTTATTAACACTAACTTTATTTTTTTTTATTGATTTTACACTAGCAGGGAGACTGCCTGTCAGCACACACAGTCCCCCTGCAGGCAGACACATGGACACCTATTGTGACCATGTGATCGCTGTGTTAAGCGATCACATGGCCACAGGGGTCCTAATCTGCCGTGGGGAGACTGTCTGGGCTGCAGGCAGTCTCCCCACAACCGGAGCCACGCTGATCGCCGCCGGGGGAACGACGGCGATCAGGTAAGTAGCTCTGACCGTTAGGACGGTTCAGGACCGTCATCGGTCCTCAAGGCAAAAATGCCGATGACGGTCCTGAACCGTCCTCGGTCCTTAAGGGGTTAAATATATATTCAACTATACCAAGACCTATCGACAGGAACAAGAATTTGGAGGAAATGCTTTAAGTAATCTTTTTTTGTTCTCAAAAAAACATGATATCAAATATAGATGGGGATACCCAAATAAGTTGAGAACTTTTTTGAAGGACACTATACAAGAGTTTGAACAGGCTGATAAGCTAAAAGAATGGAAGAACAAACATAAGATCACATTTTCTTAAATAAAAAAATACAAGATTTTAATATATACAAAAATACACATCAATGAGATCATACAATACATATGTTCCATAGACCTACACTTTGACAACACTTTTATCTCCAATTTACTCACACAACACATTTATGTGCATTGTATATACAATTCAGTGTTCTCTTTTTTTTTCTCTCTCTCTTTGTCCCTCTATCCCCTCCAAAAGGTTGATTTCCTGTCAATTATTTTTTATTTTGAAAAAGAAATTGATACCTTGTCTATAAATAATAAACAAGGAAGATAGTATATACTGACATTTGGTACAAAGAAGCGATTTTTTTTTTTTATTTTTTTTTTATATATTATCTTGGCTCCACACTCCTCCAGAAATGAAGGCGGAGGATTTTGCTCAAAGAAACAGATGAAATGTATATAAGTTTGTATTTTTCTTATGTCTTTGTAAGTTAATTAATGAAGAAACTAACCAGATGATAAGTTGTAAACTGCCGAGAAGGGGGGCTAAAAATAAAAAAAAAATGGTTAAAATAATATCACTAAACGTACAGGGTTTAAATTCTCAATATAAGAGATCGACTGTTCATATATTTTTAAAGAAACAATGTGTGGATCTAGCTTTTATACAGGAGGCTCACTGGAAAATTGATGAAAACATTTTTCTCAAAAGCAAAGATTTTCCCATTATAATTCATGCTTCTAATAAGGAAAAAAAACAAAGGGAGGTATCAATAATAGTGGCAAATAAATTTTGAACTTAGTCACCAGATTTTAGAACCTATGGGACACTACATGATAATCGTTGGTAAAAAATAAATGAAGAAGTATATACATTGATAAATGTATCTCCAGTCTGTCTCCTCAGGAAAATACTGGATATGGCGAATAAGATTAAGATAGGTTTGCTTATAGTTGTAGGAGACTTTACTTGTGTATTAGATGTAGACTTAGACAAGACATTTTTAAAATCCATTCCAATAAACAATAAAAAAAAACTTTTAAAAAAAACAAGCTATGAAGATGACCAACACTTTAAATAAATTCAATCCCGGTGGAGAATTTTTCATCCCGGTGGAAAATATTTTATTTATCTCTCCAGAATACATGTCATACTCTAGGATTGATTTGATGTGTGAAAATCAGTCCTTACTAAATAGAATTTCTAAAATAAATATTTTAAATAACACATGGTCAGACCACAATATACTTATGCTTGATTTAAAAGATGCATTTAAATATAACGCTCAACCTCATTGGAGATCAAATGAGTATTTACTAAATTCTAAAGAGAATAAAGACCACATTGCTAATTTAATTGACTTGTATTTTAAAGAAAATAATCCACAAGATACATCTATACCCATCAATCGGTGTGCCTTTAAAACTGTTATTAGAGGCCATCTAATAAAGTAAGAACACAAATTTAAAAAAAAAAAAACAGGGGAAAAATATTTATATATAACTTTTTCAAATTTATAACACACAAAAAAATAGGTGGAGCAAATAGTGATAATAAATAGAAATATACTTCCCTCTCTTCTAACTTTTCGCTGTAAAAGATAGAGAGGTACAGAATAGTGCAAATATTGCTAAATACAAAATATAAATAGAATATGTATCATATGCACTCACAATGGGAGAGCCATATAATGCAACCTGGCTCTGGTGTGGATTTCCTTTGGGATCTTAATTGGGTGATCCCCAGACCTCTTTGATGGTGCTTGTTGTGGTATATCTTCCTTCAATGATGGTCAATGGAAAAATAGTATATTCCAAAGTCAAAATATTTATTCAAAAAGAAATAAAAATAAGTAAAATGGATAAAAGTAATACAATAAATAAGACCTTTTAGTGTCCAATATGATTGCCAAAACGCGTTTCGCCAGTGTGGCTTCCTCAGTTGGCATACAGTATTAGTGTCCTCTCAGTCCTTTAAATGCTTTCAAAATTCGCGGTCAAACTTTCGGTGCGTTCCACCGTCTCCTTCCGGGTTCCGTCCCCTTCCGGATTCCATAGCGTCTGCGTCACTTCCGGTTTCGGCAACAGTTCAATGTATTCGGTGGAACGCATCCATGCGTTCCACCGTTTACTTCCTGGTTCTGTGACGTCATTTCCGGTCTCGCCGAATGCATACAGAGGCATACGTCTTTTTTAAGTGTCATTGGAACGCATATGCGTTTCACACAGTTTATGCAGTTCTCAATTCTTTAGAAGCAATCTTGTTATTAGATATTTTAAATGAGATTTTTTTATATAAAGTATCCATATCAAAATGCTTTAAACAAATATCAGTTTGTGAATATATATCCCATCAATGTACAATCATGAGTAAATTGCAGCATATGGTAATTAAAACATATGAAATAATAAAGAAAGGGATAATAAGAATGCCCAAAAACAGGATTATACAAAACATCAATGTCTGCCTACAGTCTAATTATAAAAATAAATAACAAATATATCCAAATAATCTAAAAAGATAAAAATAAATGATATTAAAAAACATATATATACTTATATGGTAAAAAATGCATATGAAGAATAATATAAGAGTATAATATAATAATGGTAAATAGACACCTATATATAGATACCAACACTTATAAAAAAGTAACCACCAACCCTAGCTTAGAAATTCAAACTAAGTTTAATAGCTACATAGAAAAAGGTTGTAATCTTGGTATTCTGAAAGAAGAGGAAAGAAAATACTTAAAAATTCCATATCCTAAAATTCCGGTATTTTATTATTTACCCAAAGTACATAAGAAATAATCCTCCGGGTAGACCAATAATATCTGGAATTGATTCTATTTCTTCACGAACTTCGGAATATATAGACAATCTTTTACAACCGATAGTAGAAAAGAACTCCTCGTATCTTAAGGATACTATTCATATGCTTAAAATTTTAGAAGATATAGATTGGCAAGACCACTACTTACTAGTTACGTGTGATGTTGGATCCTTATACAGCATTATACCCCATTCAATAGGGATAGAAGCAACTAAATATTTTTTAAAGAAATCCAATTTTAATGACACACAAATAGATTTTATATTGGAAGGTATTTTAATAATTTTAACAAACAATTTCTTCTGGTTTAAGGATTCTTTTTTTATGCAAATCACGGGCACGGTGATGGGTACCAAGTTCACACCAAGTTATGCGAATTTATTTATGGCTTATTGGGAGGAAAAGATTTTATTCCCAAGCAGCCATGCGACGAACTTGGTAACCTATCGCCGATATATCGATGATATATTTTTTATATGGAAAGATGGAGAGGAAAGTTTAAAAGTCTTTCTTAATCTTTTAAATAATAATGAATGGGGGATTGTTTTAACTTCTTCATATAATACCCATCATATCGATTTTTTAGATTTAGAAATTTTTATTGTAGAATCAAGCATTCATACTAGAAATCATTTTAAAGAGGTAGATGCCAACAGCTATATTGAGAAAAAAAGCTGTCACTACCCTCCATGGCTAAAAAATGCCCCAAAAAGCCAATTTTTAAGACTCAGAAGGAATTGCACACAAGACTCAGATTACTCAATCCAGGCAGATGTAATTAAACAACATTTTTTACAAAGAGATTATGATGAGGAAGCACTTTCAAAAACTTTAGAAGAAGTGAAAAAGATGAAAAGAAAGGATCTGATAAAACACAAAGGAACAAAACTAAAGAATAGGAATAAAAACAACATTAATATACCCTTCATATGTAACCACAGTGGAAATAACGGAAAGATTAGGAAAATTATTAAAAAATATTGGCCAATTTTGCAAGAAGATCCGATTTTAAAACAAATAATACCATCGGAACCTAAAATAGTCTACAGGGGCTGTAAAAATATGAAACAAATTTTAGTAAATAGTAGTTTTAAAACTAAACAGAAAGATCATTTTTTTTTAAAAAAAGTAAAGGTTTTTTCGGCTGCGGTTCATGTTTAGCCTGTAGAACTACATGCCAGAAAAAAAGACATGTGTCATCTTTTAATTATCAGAATGATAAAATATTTTATATTAAAGATCAACTAACGTGCTTTTCAAAAAATGTGATCTATATTTTAAAATGCCCCTGTGACTTAATTTATGTAGGACGAACCACGAGATGTCTTAATATCAGAATTTCCAAACACGTAAGAAATATAAAAAAAGGGGTAGAGACACAGTGTCTCTAACCATTTTAAAACACACCATAACAGTGACCCAAAAAACACATTTTTCTGTGCAGTTAAAGTTGTACAGAAAGATTGGAGAGGCGGAGATTTTAATAGAAAGATAGGGGAAGAAGAAATGAAGTGTATTTACATTTTTAAAACTTTAATTCCCCATGGTCTAAACCAAGATTTCGAGTTATGACACTTTTTAGTATAATATTGTCTGTGATACATTCTAAGATTTTAGAAAAGTTTTTTTTTTTTTTTTTTTATATAGGTGTCTATTTACCATTATTATATTATACTCTTATATTATTCTTCATATGCATTTTTTACCATATAAGTATATATATGTTTTTTTAATATCATTTATTTTTATCTTTTTAGATTATTTGGATATATTTGTTATTTATTTTTATAATTAGACTGTAGGCAGACATTGATGTTTTATATAATCCTGTTTTTGGGCATTCTTATTATCCCTTTCTTTATTATTTCATATGTTTTAATTACCATATGCTGCAATTTACTCATGATTGTACATTGATGGGATATATATTCACAAACTGATATTTGTTTAAAGCATTTTGATATGGATACTTTATATAAAAAAAATTCATTCGAAATATCTAATAACAAGATTGCTTCTAAAGAATTGAGAACTGCATAAACTGTGTGAAACGCATATGCGTTCCAATGACACTTAAAAAAGACGTATGCCTCTGTATGCATTCGGCGAGACCGGAAATGACGTCACTGAACCAGGAAGTAAACGGTGGAACGCATGGATGCGTTCCACCGAATACATTGAACTGTTGCCAAAACCGGAAGTGACGCAGACGCTATGGAATCCGGAAGGGGACGGAACCCGGAAGGAGACGGTGGAACGCACCGAAAGTTTGACCGCGAATTTTGAAAGCATTTAAAGGACTGAGAGGACACTAATACTGTATGCCAACTGAGGAAGCCACACTGGCGAAACGCGTTTTGGCAATCATATTGGACACTAAAAGGTCTTATTTATTGTATTACTTTTATCCATTTTACTTATTTTTATTTCTTTTTGAATAAATATTTTGCCTTTGGAATATACTATTTTTCCATTGACCATCATTGAAGGAAGATATACCACAACAAGCACCATCAAAGAGGTCTGGGGATCACCCAATTAAGATCCCAAAGGAAATCCACACCAGAGCCAGGTTGCATTATATGGCTCTCCCATTGTGAGTGCATATGATACATATTCTATTTATATTTTGTATATAGCAATATTTGCACTATTCTGTACCTCTCTATCTTTTACAGCGAAAAGTTAGAAGAGAGGGAAGTATATTTCTATTTATTATCACTATTTGCTCCACCTATTTTTTTGTAGGGATCGACCGATATTGATTTTTTAGAGCCGATACCGATACCGATAATCTGCGAACTTTCAGGCCGATAGCCAATATCTTGCCGATATTCTGTACATTTACTATTTTGAATAAATAAACTAATTCGAAAGGTAAATGCACAAAATATACATGCCACATGTAGTGGATGAAGTGTGTTTAGACAGGGGAACTGTGTGTGTTTGTGTAGTGTGTGTGTGTGTGTGTAGTGGATGCAGAGTGTGTGTATATAATGCAGTGTTTATGTAGTGTGTGTGTATAATGCAGTGTGTGTTTTTGTGTGTGTATGTAATGCAGTGTGCGTGTGTTTGTGTAGTGTGTATGTATGTAATGCAGTGTGTGTTTGTGTAGTGTGTATGTAATGCAGTGTGTGTGTCTGTGTAGTGTGTATGTAATGCAGTATGTGTACTGTCTGTGTAGTGTGTATGTAATGCAGTGTGTGTTTGTGCAGTGTGTGTTTGTGTAGTGTGTATGTAATGCAGTGTGTGTGTCTGTGTAGTGTGTATGTAATGCAGTATGTGTACTGTGTTTGTGTAGTGTGTATGTAATGCAGTGTGTGTATGTAATGCAGTGTGTGTGCAGTGTAGTGTGTGCAGTGTGTCTGTAATGCAGTATGTGTGCAGTGTGTGTTTGTGTAGTGTGTGTTTGTGTAGTGTGTATGTAATGCAGTGTGTGTGCCTGTGTAGTGTGTGTGTATGTAATGCAGTATGTAATGCAGTGTGTGTGTAGTGTGTATGTAATGCAGTGTGTGTGTAGTGTGTGTAGTGTCTGTCTGTGTAGTGTGTGTATGTAATGCAGTGTATGTAATGCAGTGTGTGTGTATGTAATGCAGTATGTGTTTGTGTAGTGTGTGTGTGTTTGTGTAGTGATGTAATTTGTGTAATTTTTTATTTTAATATTTTTTTTAATATTTAAATGTTTTTTTTGTTTAGTCCCCCCCCAGTGTGTGTTTGTGTAGTGTGTGTTTGTGTAGTGTGTATGTAATGCAGTATGTGTTTGTGTGTGTGTGTGTTTGTGTAGTGATGTAATTTGTGTAATTTATTTTAATATTTTTTTTAATATTTAAAAATGTTTTTATTTTTTGTTTAGTCCCCCCTCCCTGCTTCTTACCAGGGAGGGGGATATAGTATTCCCTAGTGGTCCAGTGGCTTGTTAAGTACAGTGGTGGCTCAGCAGCAGCAAGCGCTGACTTACCTTGCATGCAGCTCCTACAGCTCCCTGTGTAAATCTCGCGGCTCTTAGTGCCGCGCGGAGCGTTGCCATGGTAACCCGTGGCAACGCTCTGCGGCCGCGGGTCTCGCGAGATTTACACAGAGAGCTGTAGGAGCTGCATGCAAGGTAAGTCAGCGCTTCCTGCTGGCCCCCACAGGACCGCCGGGCTTATAATGGGCCCGGCGTTCCTGTTATATATTATCGGCAATATCGGTATCTGAATTGGCCGATACCGATATTGCCGAAAATACCAAATATCGGCCGATAATATCGGCCAGACCGATAATCGGTCGATCCCTATTTTTTTGTGTGTTATATGTTATTTCATGTGAAGGTGTAGGGGATACCTCACTGGTGTTTAGAGCATTCATCACTTCTGTAGACATACCTGTATTATTATTTCACAATACTTTTTCAAATTTAGCTAATGAAAATAAAAAACATCCATCAAACCAAACCTATTCAGAAATGCTAAAAATACAAGAACAAATTAATTTCAAATTAAGACAAAAATCTATTTATGCAATGAAAAATATGAAAATCAAATATTATGTTAAAGGAAGTAGAGCGGATAAACTATTATCAGATAGACTTAAAAAAACATGATTTTAAATCCAAGATATCTAAACTGATAGTAAACAATAAAACGTTATTATCTCCTGAAAGCGTAGGAAAAGCTTTTAACAACTATTATGAAGATTTATACAATTTAAATAATTATTCTCAAGAATCAGATATAGATAAATACTTTCAAAACTTAAAATTTCCAAAACTTTCACTAACACAAAAAAACATGCTAAATCATCCTATTACTATGGAAGAAGTAGATAGAAATGTATCCAAACTACAGTCTCAAAAAACTCCAGGACCTGGTGGCTTAAACAACATCTTTTTAAAACTTTTTACATTTAATCTAACATTCCAACTAACATCCACATTTAATGGTATAGTAGATCAAAAATATTTCCTTCAGAACTATCTAAAGCTAATATAATCCCAATTCTAATATAAAAAAAACCTTCACAAATTCAAAACTACAGACCAATTTATTTTCTGAATACCGATATTAAAAACTTTGCATCCATTCTTGCTGATTGTCACACCCACCTGGGGATTTTGCAGAGATGATGGAACCCAGTTGCAGTGGAACAGCATTCCCTTACAATCACGACCCTCAGGAGCACCTGGAAGTGGAGACAGGATCCCGAAGGGTCTGTGGTGGCGTGGAGGCCTTAATGGGAAGAAACAAAATGAAGAATCCATGGAAACAGGAGCAGGGGACATGGGAAGAAAACTGCAGTCAGGCAGTAGACAGAAGAAGCCGATCAATCCGGACTCAGGTCAGGAAGCAGGCAGGAATAATCAAACGAAGAATCAAGGATCAGGAACCAGGAACATAAGCTTAAAATCAGGGAAATAGGCAGGTATATAGAGACAAGCAAAATAACCAAGCACTGACTGAAAGGTGTGCTTGGTTTAAATAGATGGCCAGGATCACCTGACCATCCACCTCCCACCATTAGGTGGAGCACACAGGGGCTATAAAGAGAGATCAGGGACTCGGCGCCATCTTGTTTTATAATATGGTCCATGACCTGTCCCTCCCTTATGGATCCGCAGCTCCCCTCCTCCTCCCTGTGAAGAATGCCAGGTCAGCATGGCGGCCGCCATTTTGCCGCGACAGTGTGCTCGCCGCGGACCTCGACGGTGAGAGGAAGGGATGGAACCGCTGCAGACCCGGGGGAGGGGTCTCCACAAGGGCGCCCAGGAGTGGGTAAGTGCACGGCATTGCCGTGACACTGTTAGGTTAAAACAAGCTCTAAACAATTTTATACAGCCAGATCAAATAGGTTTTGTGCCTAACAGATTCTCAGACTTGAATGTAAGACGACTGGTTAATATATTGGATCTAACAAAGAGACAAGGGACTCCCCTCCTGACCCTGTCGATAGATGCCGAAAAAGCATTTGACAGAGTCAGCTGGGGATTCATAAGAAAATCTTTGCAAAGTTTTGGTATTCATGATTGGATGTTGCAAGCAATTATGTTCATGTATCATACCTCATCAGCAAGAAAAGTTGGTCATGGCATTTTGTCTGAATGGTTCCCTATAAAAAACGGTACTAGGCAAGGATGTCCACTCTCGCCTCTCTTATACATTTTGTCTCTAGAACCTTTAGCAATCAAAATATTAAAGGTGTTTCTATTAAACAAAAACTTAAAGGGACACTCCAGTGCCAGGAAAACATATCCATTATCCTGGCACTGCAGGACCCTGCAGTGCCCCTCTCCCTCCCACCCCCCATCCCATGTTGCTGAAGGGGTTAAAGCCCCTTCAGTGACTTACCTGAATCCAGCGCCGATGTTCCTCTGTGCCGAGTCAGGCTCCACCCACGCTCCTCCCCCATCGACGTCAGCCAGCGGGGGAAACCTAATGCACATGTGTGGCAATGGGCGCGCGGCTTTAGACCTCCTCATAGGAAATCATTATTCAATTCTTTCCTATGGGGATTCCAGCGATGCTGGAGGTCCTCATGCATAGCGTGATGACGTCCAGCATTGTTTAAATCACTTTTCATCCCTCTAGTGGCACGGAAGTCCCTTTAGTGGCTGTCCAATAGACAGCCACTAGAGGAGGACTTAACCCTGCAAGGTAATTATTATAAAAACTGCAATAATTACACTTGCAGGGTTAAGGGTGGTGGGAGTTGGCACCCAGACCACTCCAATGGGCAGAAGTGGTCTGGGTGCCTGGAGTGTCCCTTTAAAATTAGTCTATACTCAGGGGGCGGAGTTAAACAACATACTGCACGGTCGCATGTCTCCTGAGCTCCGGCAAGACGGAAGAGACATCCGACAATCAGACCCACATTGCTGCTGCTTTCACCCCTACTGAGACACCATCTGACAAAGGAGATAATAGGGAAACACTCCCAAAAGTCCCGATGCTCAGGGGGAGAGCATACCCGAGATATTGAGCTTCTACTTTCACAATCAGGTAGGCCCAAAATGGCCATCCTGATGCCGAACTCAGCTCACGGCTCCACATCAGTCTCAGAGGATGAAGCAGGGGAACCAGCAGAGCTCCGGCCACAGCCTCGAGGAAGAAAAGCTCTGTTTAAACGGCAACCTGAACCTCAGTGGGCTACTAAATCTGACATCATTACGATGACCACTGACCGCAAAACCTTCTTCTCCTCTGAACTGTAAACAGTAGACCTGAACATGCTGTCTGGCAGAATCAATGCCACTGAAGACAGTATCCAGAGCCTGGGTGCCCAGCAAAAAGCCACTGCACACCAGCTCCAAGAGGTCTCTAATGCATACACAGCACTCAGTGTTAAGGTGTTACACAACAACGCAATCTGAAAATCAGGGGGGTCCCTGCTATAATCAACGCAGATGAGTTGCCACAATATATCAGATGGCTACTGTACGCCACACTACCACCCAAGCAGGCCAAGATACTGCTGGAGGGAATTTACCGCTTGCCAGGGAACTCTAAAACAAATCCTCGGTTCCCATTCCCAGAGATGTCATTCTGAGTTTAAGGGCACGTTCTGACAAAGAGGCTTTCCTGGCCACCACAAAAGGCCAATCACCATTTATGTTCAAACAACATGAACTTAGCTTTTTCCAAGACCATTGGCTTCATATGATACAGTCTAGTATAATAAGCTTTATATGGAAAGCAAAACCCCCTAGGATTAGCCAAAAGATTTTATCTATGAGTAAGAATAAAGGTGGTTTAGGATTCCAAAATATTACAACTCTTTATCAAGCTAGTGTTTTGACCCATTTATATCGGTTACAATCTTATTCCCCAGAATTCGAAGCATGGCAAGTTATTGAAAGGCCTATGTCAGGATATGAGGATCTATCCTCAATTATATGGAATGTTAAAGAAAAATAACAAATTACTATTTTAAAACAGCAAAGTATAGTTCTAAGTCAATTAAAGGGACTCTCCAGTGCCAGGAAAACAATCCGTTTTCCTGGCACTGCAGGTCCCCTCTCCCTCCCACCTCCCATCCCCGGTTGCTGAAGGGGCAATGTCCCTCGTCGCTGCTTCTTCCTCCGCCCACGCTATTATCCCGGAAGTGCCCTCTAGTGGTTGTCTAGTAGACAGCCACTAGAGGAGAAGTTAACCCTGCAAGGTAATTATTGCAGTTTATAAAAACTGCAATTATTACACCTGCAGGGTTAAGGGTAGTGGGAGTTGGCACCCAGACCAATGGGCAGAAGTGGTCTCAAGTGGTCTGAAGTAGTCTGGGTGCCTGGAGTGTCCCTTTAACACATTCTTGGACAAACATCAAAAAGCAATTGTGAATACTGTCAAAATGATTACCATCAAATAAAATAGGAATTCTTGAGGTAACCACAGAGGATTTGAATCTGACTTTATGGAAACAAAGAAATATTTCTACTATATCACATTTGATAAATAATGCGTCTCTAAAATCATTTCCAGAACTGATGGAAGAATTTCATCTTCCTAACTCTCAAATTTTGAATTACCTTAGAGTTAAGAATATCATAAACAAGTATTTTGTTTTCGAAGATTCTTTTATAATCTCAAATATTGCAAAAATATTTAATTACTCAAAAATTGAAAAAATAATGTCAAAAACAAGACACTTCATTACAAATCTCAACAACATACAAAAAATCCTTATCTAAATGGTAAAAAGATTTGAGACTAAATATTGAGAATGAAGAATGGAATAAAACTTTAATTAGTTTCACACCATATGTTTACTGTTTAAATCTTTTGGAGATGCATTATAAAATTATTAATAGATGATATTGGGTTCCCACAAAATCTGCAAAACATTTTTCATCTGAGTCTGAAATATGTTGGAGATGTAACAGAGAAAAAAGGGACCTATTTACACATATGGTGGGAATGTGATGTGCTTATTGATACAGTTGCAAGAAAAAGTATGTGAACCCTTTGGAATGATATGGATTTCTGCACAAATTGGTCATAAAATGTGATCTGATCATCATCATCTAAGTCACAACAATAGACAATCACAGTCTGCTTAAACTAATAACACACAAAGAATTAAATGTTGCCATGTTTTTATTGAACACACCATGTAAACATTCACAGTGCAGGTGGAAAAAGTATGTGAACCCTTGGATTTAATAACTGGTTGAACCTCCTTTGGCAGCAATAACTTCAACCAAACGTTTCCTGTAGTTGCAGATCAGACATGTACAACGGTCAGGAGTAATTCTTGACCATTCCTCTTCACAGAACTGTTTCAGTTCAGCAATATTCTTGGGATGTCTGGTGTGAATCGCTTTCTTGAGGTCATGCCACAGCATCTCAATCGTGTTGAGGTCAGGACTCTGACTGGGCCACTTCAGAAGGTGTATTTTCTTCTGTTTAAGTCATTCTGTTATTGATTTACTTCTATGCTTTGGGTCATTGTCCTGTTGCAACACATATCTTCTGTTGAGCTTCAGCTGGTAGACAGATGGCCTTAAGTTATCCTGCAAAATGTCTTGATAAACTTGGGAATTCATTTTTCCTTCGATGATAGTAATCCGTCCAGGCCCTGATGCAGCAAAGCAGCCCCAAACCATGATGCCACCACCACCATACTTCACAGTTGGGATGAGGTTTTGATGTTGGTGTGCCGTGCCTTTTTTTTTTGCCACACATAGTGTTGTGTGTTTCTTCCAAACAACTTAACTTTGGTTTCATCTGTCCACAGAATATTTTGTCAGTACTGCTGTGGAACATCCAGGTGCTCTTGTGCAAACTGTAAACGTGCAGCAATGTTTTGTTTGGACAGCAGTGGCTTCCTCTGTGGTATCCTCCCATGAAATCCATTCTTGTTTAGTGTTTTATGTATTGTAGATTCGCTAACAGGGATGTTAGCATTTGCCAGTGACTTTTGTAAGTCTTTAGCTGACACTCTAGGATTCTTCTTCACCTCATTGAGCAGTCTGAGCTGTGCTCTTGCAGTCATCTTTACAGGACGGCCACTCCTAGGGAGAGTAGCAGCAGTGCTGAACTTTCTCCATTTCTAGACAATTTGTCTTACCGTGGACTGATGAACAGCAAGGCTTTTGGAGATACTTTTATAACCCTTTCCAGCTTTATGCAAGTCAACAATTCTTAATCGTAGGTTCTTCTGAGAGCTCTTTTGTGCGAGGCATCATTCACATCAGGCAATGCTTCTTGTGAAAAGCAAACCCAGAACTGGTGTGTGTTTTTTATAGGGCAGGGCAGCTGTAACCAACACCTCCAATCTCATCTCATTGATTGGACTCCAGTTGGCTGACATCTCACTCCAATTAGCTCTTGGAGATGTCATTAGTCTAGGGGTTCACATACTTTTTCCACCTGCACTGTGAATGTTTACATGGTGTGTTCAATAAAAACATGGCAACATTTCATTCTTTGTGTGTTATTAGTTTAAGCAGACTGTGATTGTCTATTGTTGTGACTTAGATGATGATCAGATCACATTTTATGACCAATTTTTGCAGAGATCCATATCATTCCAAAGGGTTCACATACTTTTTCTTGCAACTGTATTTGGAATAAAACATTCCACTGGTTCACTAAAATATCCAAGGTTAAAATAAATTGGTCCCCAGATGTTTTACTACATCTTAATTGGCCAACCATACCGTTAAAACACAAAATGTTACTTATCCATATCTTATTAGCAACAAAACTAATAATTGCACAAAATTCCCAGATTTTACTATTAACATGACGTAAAGTCATGATTTTATTAAAGACACGGAGGCGAGTATTATGCATAACTCTTTCTTTATTCCCTCAGGAGCAAAGATAGAGGAATATAAATATTATCAAAATGAAAGAAAAAAGGCTGTATAGGCACACAGGCAACCAATCACATAACAGAGGAAGTGACTATAAAAGGCCTGTGTCTCCCACAATCCCCCTCTTTCTTGTGAAAACCGAAGACCAGGAACACACGAAATGATATCCCATCCGGCAACAACAGAGGAACCGTAACCAAACGATAACATCAAGCTAAAAAGAGAGAGAAAAATATGGTAATAACCAAACTCCAAACTGAAGACTTACCCAGCAACTATGGTAACGGTTTCTCAGGAATTCAATCTAAAACATAGAAAAAAGCTATTAGTATATAGTCATAAAAAACAAACATCAACACATAACAAAACAGATATGTAGAACATAACAAATAAACCAAAACAATAACATACCTGAAAAACCAGCCGTATCTCATCTAATAACCCACCATCGGGAGGGTGGGTGGGAATAATACTCGCCTCCGTGTCTTTAATAAAATCATGACTTTACGTCATGTTAATAGTAAATTCTGGGAATTTTATTAAAGACACGGAGGCTCATATTATGCAAGTTTAAAGCTGTGCTATCACCTGAGATGCGATGTGGTTGATTGGTCTGAAATAAAAATCACAGAATGACGACTCCCGAGACCAATCCGCAGCACGTAGAATATCCTCCAGACGACAGCCGACTGTAGAAGCTTTCGCCACCATGGCTCCACGCACCGAATGAGGCGTGAAGATAGAAGTGTCAACGCCAGCTAAAGACAGAAGTCAACGCAACCCAACGAGCCAAAGTCGGGGTGGAGACAGGTCGGTATGGGATCAGGCGTGGATAATCTATCGACAACTCCATCAGACGCGGGAACCATGGCTGAGACCTCCACAGAGGGGTGATCAGCGTCAGGCAACAATCGTGATGGACCAGCTTCGAGATTGTGCGAGCAATCATGTTGAACGGAGGAAAGGCATACAGGCGGCCCGTCGGCCACTCCTGAAGAAAAGCATCCATCGCCACTGCTGCCGGATCTGGTCTCCAACTGTAAACTCCGGTAGTTTGGTATTCAGGCGGGATGCGAATAAATCCATCACGAACCGTCCCCATAATCTGTCTAGGCCTTGAAACACTGAAACGTGCAAGTGCCAATCTCCCGAGTCTCTCAAATGTCTCGAGTTCCAATCCGCCCCCGAATTGTCCAGACCCGGGATGTGTTCTGCTGTCACAGAGACATTGTTGTACAAACAGAATTGCCAAAAATCTTTTGCCAATAGAGCCAACATCTTGGATTTGGTTCCCCCTAAGTGGTTTATATAACGTACCGCCGATACATTGTCCATCTTGAGGAGAACGCAGCAATTCGCTCGACCTGGGGTAAGGCTGCGAATCGCGAAGGCCCCTGCCAAGAGTTCCAGGCAGTTGATGTGCAAAGAGTTCTCTATTCCGGGCCATCTGCCTCCTGTGGAAACGTTGCCACAATGCGCTCCCCAGTCGTGTAGGCTGGCGTCTGATTCTATCACCACGTCCGGTTTGGAACTGAAAATGGCTCTTCCATTCCAAGCCTCCATGTGAGCCAACCACCACACCAGTTCGTCCCTGGATTCCTCGTCCAGTCGTATCCTGGACTCGTAAGAACAACCCGAGCGGAGGTGTGATCCCTTGAGCCGTTGGAGTGCTCGGTAGTGTAACGGACCTGGGAAGATCGCTTGAATGGAGGCTGCGAGGAGACCGATAAACATTGCCAATTGTCTGATTGACAAGTCTGACACTCGAAGAGCTTGCCGAAGCTCCTTCTGAATGGCTTTTATCTTGGATTCCGGGAGATATAGGAATTGTTGAACGGAATCCACCTTGAACCCCAAGAATTCCATCGACTGGGCCAGGATCGACTTGTCCCAGTTGATCATGAATCCCAAGTTCTGGAGCAGACTGACCGTCCAGTCCACATGGGCTTGCAATTGATCTCGGGACTGGGACATGAGGAGAATGCCGTCCAGATAAATAATTAAGCGTACACCACACGTACGTAAAGACACCACCGGTCTCATGATCTTGGTGAAGCACCAAGGAGCTGAGGAGAGACCGAACGGTAGATAAGTGAAACGCCGTTTCCTGTGCAAAGTAAAGTGGAGGAAGTCCCTGTGTTCCATCGCAATGGGGGGTCGGAGATTTATTACTGGTCGAATTCCACCCTCTTTCTTCGGTACCAGAAAAAGGATGCTCGTAAGCCTGGGGTGGCAAACGGCAACTCCTCTATCGCGCCCTTCGTAAGCATCTCTTTGATTTCCGTTGAAATCAACCCCTCCTGTTCCGAGGGAAGGGACAATTCTCTGGGGGCAGAAAGTTGGACAGGCAGGGAGACAAACTCGAGTTGATAACCCTTCACTGACTGGAGCACCCAGGTATCTGAGGTCACAGCCTCCCAACCCCGGGAGAACAATGCCAACCTGCCCGCCACCCATTCTGGAGCGAGAAGGGAAGAATGGGTACTCACCATAAGGACTGTCATGATTCGGGTACCTAACACGCTGGCACACACACACACACACAGAAAAGGTGCCGTACCGGACCTTAGAGTGGCCGGGCTAAGCACACACAGAATAGTCAGGAGACAAGCCGAGTAAGGGGAACCAGAAGACAGAATAACGTGAAACGAGCCGAGGTCAAAGGGTAGGAGAAAGTCACAGAGTCAGATAAACAAGCCAGAGAGTACGTAACCAGAAACACAAGGTAAGTAGCAATACTAGTAAGCAAAGACCACAACAGGGCAGGGAGGAACAGGAAAGGTAAGTATTTAAACCATAAGGTTAATTCTGATTGGATAATTTCCAATCAGAATTAACAATCACACGTCGGAGATATCTAAACCTCCCACTGTGATTGAGGCACTGTGCCTTTAATGCCGGGTCAGGTGACTGACCCCGGCGTGTAATAATTTGGGCGGTCTCCCAGCGTGCAGCGTCATGTATGCTGCCGCTGGGGGACGTGGAGGAAATGGCGGGCGGCATCCGAGACTGGAAGGATGCCGCTCGCCGAGCCCACAAGGAGGAGGGGACCGCGGACGGCTGGAGGGTGAGTACCGTGAGCGGAGTGCAGCCTCCCCTCGCAGCCGCCCGCGGGATCCTGACAAGGACGTCTGCCCGAAGTGGCACCACGGGGGTATCTGGAACCCCACGACCTTCCTCTAGCTGGGAAGAAGGGAGGCGTCCTCGGATCTTGGAATCCCCAGGAGGGAAAGAATGAACCGCTACTGGCCCGGAATGAGCCTCGGAAGCCACGGCAGGGTGGACGGTTCCTACTACGCCCGGCCCCTCCGAAAACCTTAGGCGCAAACACGCACTTCATGCTGGCCTGGGCTTTATCGATGGCTGTAAAGGTTTTAACGTAGGACCCAAGGTCCTTCATGAAGGTGTCCCCAAACAACATCCCATCGTTGGATAAGCTCGGCTCCGCCACAGTCATGGTGGCTAATTTGGGGTAAATTTTTAACAAAATCGCCTTATGTCTCTCAGCCGACATAGCGGTGTTCGCATTCCCCAGGAGACAGATGGCCCTATGGCTACGTCTATGTCCAGGGTAGAGTCACCTGCCTTAGCGGCATCCAGGAGCTCGTACAGCTTAGACAGAGGGCCCAGAGTGTCCAAAATCTTGTCCTGGCATCCTTTTAAGGAAAAGTTCAGGCCCTTTTTTAGTTTCCAGCCTGACTTGTTCAAAAATTGGGCGATCTGTGGGTCGAACCTTGGAGGGAAGGCCTGGGACATTCGGCACATAACTTATTGCGGCCCTCCTTAGACAGGGGGGTGCGCATGCGTTTAGCTACATATTGGGTGATATGCCCTGGGGATTCCCACCCGGCCGACCGGGGGAGGCGTAGGTCATCTGGGTCGAACAGGGGATTGCACTGTGGATCCAATATCCCCGCGGGGCCAGCTAGAAGACCCCGCAAATTATAAGGGGTCCCAGAAGGGGTCACACCCGTAGGAGGCAAATCCTCACCCGACTCCACCTCATCATAAGAGGCATAGTCTAGCACGTCTGAGTCCTCCTCCACACTCCCGTCGGTATCCGACCCCTCCTCGTGGGCCCTAGCCCGTTTCCATAGGCTAGCCTTTTTAGCCCGGCCAGGTGCTCTTTTGCGCATGGGATGCGCGCCATCTGTGACTGCCTCAGGCGTCTCCATCATGGCAGGTAGAACCTGCATCGAGGAGTGGGAGTCGACATGCCTAGCCTTAGCCTTCGCCTTACGGGCTTCAGGCATGGCAGGGGCAGGTGGGGCGGTCCCGACACCTGGGAGGGTGGGAGTCGCTAGAGATGGCAAAAGCATAGCTTGCAGGGATGGGGAGAAAGAGGAGGATGCTGCACCCATAGCAGATGCAAAGGCCTTCTGCAAGGATGACGCCATAGTGGCATCCAAAAGGGCCTAAAATTCTTGGGAGGCTACAGTACCCTCAGGATTATCATGGGTAAAGTCCTCAGCAAGGCCCTCCGGCCCTTCATCCCTTTCCTGCATATTAGTAGAGTTAACAAAATATATATACAGGAAGCACTGAGAAAAACTAACAGAGTAGCACCAGGGTTGAGTAACCCACAGAGAACAAAGCATAAAACAACCTGAATGGTGGTGTGCCCAGGGGACCCAGTGGCCTGCAAGACCAAGCAGCAGGCAGACCGCACGGCGGGAGAGAAAGTGAGGCTGGACACGAGGAGATCCGCCCCAAAATGGCCGGCGCACGTGCAGAGAAGCCGCCAGCGATTGCAGTCTGCCTCCAGGCGGGGAAAGGGGCGGGTGCAACTTACCAGCGCGGGCAGCCCGCGATTGCGAGGGGGTAGCCGCGGATGTGACAGACAGCCGCGGCAAAACGGCTCTGAAGTCCCGCGCGGCACCACAGAAGCAGGGCAGGCACAGGAAGCACAGAGATAGCACTCCCGGCGGGGAGAGAAAAAGGGGTTATCCCAGGCACACCAGCAGGAGGTAATACAAACAGAATACAATCCAAACAAATGCACATAAAAGGCAGCAATGATAATAAAAAAACAATGAATATGAAGTCACAGAGGAACAAAATACTTAGCTGGTCTGACGGAGCAGCAAAGAAAGAGGGGGATTGTGGGAGACACAGGCCTTTTATAGTCACTTCCTCTGTTATGTGATTGGTTGCCTGTGTGCCTATACAGTTTTTTCTTTCATTTTGATAATATTAATATTCCTCTATCTTTGCTGCTGAGGGAATAAAGAAAGAGTTATGCATAATATGAGCCTCCGTGTCTTTAATAAAATTGGAAATCTACTAGTCGTCTGGTATGGCACAAAGTATATACTCAACTAATAAATCAAATTCCGATGGAAAAAGAGATTAGCATTAACCTTTTAAACTAAAAAAAAATACGATAAATGGGATCAGTGTTTAGTAAGATTAAAAGAACACTAATAACCTGATTATTTATCCTAATTAAAAAGTTCACTGTGATAAAAAAATTATATTAACCTGTGGGTTTTTGATCTCTCTTTTACACAGCAGTAATAATTTTATCTTGTCAAGTTATGTTTGTTTTGTAATTGGTATGTTATATGATGTATAAATATCCCCAAAAATTTTAAAAAAAATTAAATCTTTCACACACAGCTATATGAGGTCACTGGAGGGGTGAACAATGACATTGTATCAACAACATTACAGCCCATTGCAGTTGTTATGTGCCAGGAATGCCTTGGTGTCTTACCAGGGTAAATAGTCAAACCGTTGGAAATGGTTTGATAACTTACCTGGGGTTCATTAGGTACTCACCACTGTGTTTTCTTCGGCCAGAAAGCTCTACTCTGACCCAGGCCTGGCAGTACAGGGAGGTGCTCATCGGCTGTAAATTCAGTAAACAGACTCACCAGCACTATTGGTCTTCCGTAGGGGTACAGTGCTGAAGCACTCCCTGCATGGCTCTAGTGCTCTAAGGATGCACTCATGGTGTGCTGCCCAGGGACTGTTCCCTGGTGTCCACAGGGAACTTGAGCAGGACAGCGGGACAGAACCCCAAAATCTGGAGTATCCTGCGGAAAGCAGGCCTATTGGGAGGAGTGCAAACATACCAAGTTATAAAATCATTGCGCATTGAAATTGTATTTTGCTATCTGTCGCTACCAAAAATAGACGTTAATCCACCAAGACATGACAAATAAAGTTGAATTACTTTTCTCAAGCTGCACTAATTATGTGCACATTAATATTGCCAAATCTGTGTAAAAATATTTAGCATTTTTTCTTTAAATCAGTGAGAATTTATGTATGTATATTTCACAGAAAATGAAAGCCTTTTAATTAAAGCTTCTCCATATTATAACATGCACAAGAGGCAGTGCCTGCAGATTTTGAACTTGTGTTTAATTGTTGGCCCAGAACAGGTTGGCATCCTGAGCGACTTTGTGGTTTGTTTTTTTGTGGCTACACCAAAATGGCCGTCCATTGCACCCGGAAGCAAAATTGTGCCTCACCGGTTGTCTTCTGGTATACGTCGATCCCCTGTTGTATGGCACTGGCGTCGACTGCTGATGACGTTGCATTGCGGAAGTTTTATCCTAAAGCCGCAAACCATGCACCGGAGAGGGGTGGGAGCGGGGGCAATAGCCAAGAAGAAGCTGGCAGAGGTGACGGGTGAAGGGGCGGGACATATTGTAGAGCTTGGGGGTTCTCTCTTTATGTTTTCCTTACTGTGTGTCTGTGGTCCCTGCCTTGTCATTGGTTCACACTACTAGTCGTTCAAGTCAATTAAATTTTGCTTTATTATTATTATAGTAACTCTTAACAGAAATGTACTTATTTTGTTATTTCCATAAACTCACTGGCCATCCAAATTGTACTTTTATTTATTTATTTTACAAACGATCTCCCTACCTAACTGGCTTCTTTTTTTATTCATTTAACCTCTCTGTTCACAAACACCAGCCCAGACTATAGTAGATTTGTACACACGGGGTTTATTCACTGAATACTGAATTGTAGCATGGTAAAACGCAAATGGAAAAAATTAGGTCAATGTAGGCCAGATCAGCTATTTTAGCCTAAATTGTGGTCTAAGGATTTCAATTCACAATCGTTCAGAATTTAGTGAATTATGAAACCGAGATATTTACTAATTTCAAATTATAACAAACTGGAATAGCATGATGTAGGCAAAAAGTAGTCACACTGTAATTTATATCTTAAATTGAGAATTTCCCCAAATTAGCAGGTTTTTGGGTTTTTTTAATTTAAATTTTGCAATTTAGATTTCAATTCAATGCAATTCAAAGTTTAGTGAAGAATTCTGAGAGGGTATTAAAGGATCACTATAGTGTCAGGAAAACAAACTCATTTTCCTGGCACTATACAACCCTTAGGTCCCCCTCCCTTGGTGCTGAAAGGGTTAAAACCACCTTACTCACTTACTTTAATCCAGCGCTGGGCTCCCTCGCCGACGTCACCTCCCAAGTGGAACATAATGCGCGGCAAGAGCCGCGCGTGAATTTAAACAGTCCACAAGAAAGCATTTCTCAATGCTTTCCTGTAGACGTTCTGCACACTGGATGCGAACTTCGCATCTAGCGTCGCAGAAGTGCCTCTAGCAGCTGTCAGTAAGACAGCCACTAGAGGTTGGATTAACCCTATGTTTACATCTGAAGGGTTAAAACCTGGGGGACCTGGCACTCAGACCACTTCAATGAGCTAAAGTGGTCTAGGTGACTATAGTGTCCCTTTAATTTAACCAAAAGATGCTGATTACTATAGTTCCATCTAGGCTATTTTTACAGATGTTTTCCAGTTCAGTTTTCAGTTCCCCTCTGTTTAGTAACCCTTACAGCACAAACTGCTTGCAAACAGAGAATTGTGGTGAACTCATAACTGCTGAATTTTTCCAACTCATATTTTTTCCCAAATTAAACAGTTTCATCCTATGTTGGATTTTTTTTGAATGTAGGATTTTAGTGTTGCTTTAATGAACCTGGTCCAGTCTTCTTACATTGTATTTACACCACAGATGTTTCCACGTTATCATGACAGTTTGTAATTTAGTTATAATTGTCAAATGTACCTAAGCCATAACTTTTCCCATAGTTTATTTGAGATAAAATACTTTTTAAATTTTTTGAATTCTCTATTTTTGTTGTGCATTTGCTTAACATAGTCGCTTGAAACAGTTTTCTCAGGCTTCAATACATATACCGGTTACACCGTTTTGTTTGGTATTTTTGTTACATACTATGTTGCCATATATTTCAGCGAAGCGCCTACCCACTATTCTTTTTTCTTCAATACATAAATAAACATTTGGCATTCGGATACAGTGCACATTTTTTAATTTAGGTTCATACGTTACAACATTCTGCCTGAAGCTATCGCTAGATCGCCATATTCTCCTGTCTAGAGAAAGTAGTTGTGTGTGTTCAATATGCTCTTTACGCCTAGTGTATGACTTGGGTTCTGAGTAACCATTCCTCGTCCCATGTAAGTGGTACTTGGTGTTGGCTGTGGCGATAAAGAAAGTTGCCACACTTCCATTGTGGCAATGTCTAGGGCCCAATGTCCTATCGTGTTTGGTGTGGGCATAGGTATCTCTGTCCCTAGGTTGCCCTATGTGCTTCGTTGATGCTCGTGTGATCAGAAGCCCATAACCAAGGAGGTTGCGAGGGTGGGAGGGGACGGGAAGAACACGCTAGCAGCCCTGTTGCTGGCCCTATCGTGGGAATGTTTTGCTATGTAGTGTGTTATCCGTTAGTGGTTGTGTCGGTGCCTGGGTCTTTGCCGTTATGGTGGCCAATCAAGCCAAGGAGATATCGTATGGTTGTGTGCCTTACAGAGGTACCTAGTTTTTGCTAGGTTAGTTGAAGAGAGTTAAATAAAAGTTAAAACCAAACTAAAACAAATTAGAACAGCATTGGCGTCAGTAGTGAGTTTTACCTGTGGGCAGCAAGGCAGTCATTGGTGTCAGGAGGTGGCTGCGACAGGGGCTCCTCTCCCCCTTGGAACAAAAGGGACTGTCCTGGTGGGGTCCCATGTATGGGAGCTGGCGGGCTCATCCGTATGTTCAGGTCCTTGTGGGAGCCCAAGTGCCCTGAGGAAGGAGTCCACCTCCTGAGTGGAGTTGAGGTGTAACGTGGCGCCGTTATGGTCCACCAACAGTGTTTTTAGTGCTGTCCAGGCTTAAGGCATCTTTGCGTCTTGGAGGTGACGGGTTATAGGGCGCAAGGTTCTTCTCCATTGGAGTGTGGATCTTGTCAGGTCTTGATTAAATGTGAGACTCGCTGATTCAAAGTCCAGTGGTGTTTTGCCTTTTTAGGCATTTCTGTCTGTTTGGGTATGGCACCTGACGATCACGTCCTTGGTTGCTTGGGGGGGTGCCTGTGGTGATTTGCGGATATGGCTTTTTGGCCTGTGCGTGTGGCAATATGGTGGCGACAAAGCGTCTGACATAGTGTGGCAGCACTGCCTGGCTTATTTCATCAGGGATGCCCCTAATTTTGAGATAAAATACTTTTAATTATTCAATATAAAAATAAAAAAAAATTAACCTGGACCCCATCATTCTCAGTTAAAAAGTGTAATCAAACTTTCAATGCATTGATGGGGCCGTTCCCATTAGGTTAGAAAGATCCCCGGTATATATCAGACCATTCTTAAACAATATGATATTAAACCTAGGCAACATCACCACAGCAAGCTGTAGTGGATATGTTGCTTCGAATGTCCCTTTACAGAGGTGATGGCACCTCTGAGATCCATGCACATATTGCTAACTAACCAAACATTAGCTGAGGCTTAGGGTTTACTAGGGGGGCAATTAGATGTAGTGGAGTCTGGAGAGCATTTAAAAAACAAAACAAACAACTGCATTCGGCCATGACAGTGCCGCTTTAAGTCTATTTATTTTACATACCTCTGTTGCGGGGTGAATTCCCTCGTTTATGTGTTCATGTGGGAATGCGGAATAGTCACTTCCAGAGGCTTTAAGGTAAGGTAACATACTATGCATGCATCTATTGGGTTCTGTAAAAGAAAAAATACTTTCAGAGAGTAACTAAACCCTCATCTTCTTTTTACATTGGAAAACTGCAGGAAAGGATTGATAACTATCTCGCCTATCACAATCACATGCCAAATGTGCTTACATAGGTATGGGACATTATGGATTAGCTGAAAACTGATTATCTATTTATTTGTTGCTGCTGTAGCCTTTACTGCCAGGGTTGACAAATATGTAGTTCACAGGCAGCCATTGGTCTGTCAACCCCGATTTATTGTCAGCCTAAAAGAAAATAGTACAGAATATTTGTCTGTAGCAAAATATAGCTTATTACAAAGAAAACATTGTTTGGTTCCACTAAAATGTTCTCTCTTTTTTAAATTTTTTTTAGGCCAAGTATAAGGAGCGGGGAACAGTATTAGCTGAGGATCAGTTGGTGCAGGTGAGTACACTTGGCCCATATTCTGATAGATATGTATTACTGATTCATTAAAGATATGTTGCAAACCAAATTTAATATCAACTTTAAAGGGACACTATAGGCACCCAGACCACTTTAGCTCATTGAAGTGGTCTGGGTGCAGTGTCCCTATTGCACTTAGTGCTGCAATGTAAAACATTGAAGTTCCAGAGAAACTGCACTATTTACATTGCAGAATTAAGTCTGCCTCCAATGGCTGTGTCCCAGACAGCCACTGGAGGCACTTCCTGGCTTCTAACAGATTTTGGTCCGGTAACTGACGCTGGATGTCCTCACGCCCTTCATGAGGACATCCAGCATCAGCTATTTTCCCCATAGGAAAGCATTGATTCAATGCTTTCCTGTGGGGAGGTCTAATGCGCGTGCAGCATTTGTCATTCATACGCATTAGCGCCCACTTGTCAAGGGAGGTGGAGCCACAACCCAGCGCTGAGGTACATTAACGCAGGGATCAGGTTATTAAATAAAGAGTTTTTAACCCTTTATTCACGTCAGTGGGAGGGGTGAGGGAGAGAGAGCTATTGTGCCAGGAATACAGCTTTGTATTCCTGGCACTTATAGTATTCCTTTAAGATTAGTCACATATAGATAATTTAAATGTTACAACTCATTCAAATTGTTTTGTACATTCATATATTTGTTTCACCATTACATTGATCACATTGCATAATAGAATATTTTCCTATTAAATCTTGTAATTGTTTATCAGATTCATAAGGATTCTCAAGGATGTGTTTGTTTTTTTGCAGATGTCAAAGCAGCTGGAAATGTTCAAAACCAATCTGGAAGAGTTTGCGAGTAAACACAAGCAAGAGATTCGCAAAAATCCCCAGTTCAGAGTGCAGTTCCAAGACATGTGTGCTACAATTGGAGTAGACCCATTGGCATGTAAGATACTCGTCAGCTTCCAAAAGATTTTGTGGCATAAAATCTACATTTCAGAGCTTTCTACCTGGGTTCTATGTTTACTTTGCATATCAAAATGTCAGCTAATTCATAATATAATATAGAGGTGTATGGATAAAAGTCAAAGGATAAAACAACATCCCTTGGCATCACAATACATTTATGAAGACTAGTCACAAAAGTCTGAGTTTTGATTTAAAGGATCAGTGTCGGTACGTACCTTTTTTATTAATAGAAAGCTACTGATTGGCTTAGAGTGTCAGCTGACCTCTCTAAGCCAGTGGGCTCCCTCCCCGGTGCTACTCGAGTCTCTTGTCATCTAAGATTTCAGATAGTGGAAGGATAAGGGACAGAGCAATCGGCACTGCAACATGGACATTTAGAGTGAAACTGTTCATTAAAATTATAGGTGAGTCTGTGCCAGGAACCACCGGACACCATAACAACATCACTTTTTATGATGTAGTTATGGGGACTTGAGTGTTCCTTGAAAAATAAAATTTTGCATGAAGTTTAATCTCATGGGATTTACTTGCAAATTTAAATATTCAGTTTGAGCTGTATCATGGTAAAAAAATAAAGGGAAATTGGGAGCACACCCAAAACACACATTTGTAAGTGATGGTGCTGCCTTAAAGACCAAAATATATACAAAATACAGATTAGGGAACAGCGCACGCTCAAAAATAAAACATAAGGCTGCGTAAAACCACCATTTTAGCAAACAAATACAGGTATTCAGTTACACCATATAGCCATATTGTGTTAAGCTCACCACTACATCACATTACCCCAGTATCGATGGATCCTACACTTATTTTAACATGGGAGGTTATGTTAACTGCAATACTTGTTGCTTAAACTGCTTCCAGAGGCTCTCCTTAATTTATGCAAGAAAGCAAAACTCCATTAGTGTTAAAAATGGAGCTTTGTTTGAGTTGCATTACTATGTAGCAAAGTTCCTAATAGTCAATTTTGCTTCAACTTTTATGCTGAGAGATGCTCGCAATGTAGTTAATTCACTGAATGTGATGGTTAAATTTGTAATTTATTTCACAGCTGGCAAAGGATTCTGGTCTGAAATGCTTGGCGTTGGAGACTTTTACTATGAGCTTGGTGTTCAGATAGTTGAAGTTTGCCTAGCTCTGAAACACCAAAATGGCGGTGAGTACCATATGGAATCCTATGAGTAGCATGTTTTTAGCATTTTTTTTCTTTTAAACTAGAAGCTTGTTTACATTACTACACACTTAAGAGGACAATGTAGGCACCCAGACCACCTCCCTCGCACCCTACCTTATTTTGCTAAAAGGGATTCTATAGTGCCAACAAAACGGCTTTGTTTTCCTGACACTATAAAATACATTTAAGCAAAAGGAGGTGACATCTGTGGAATAAGAAAGAGGATCTGTGCTGTTAGGAGTTAAGCTGTGTACACACACACTAATAAGGAAATCCTTCTGACATGAGGGGGTGTGGCTAAGGAGAAAGGATTCTGGTACAGAATTCTGCAAATCCCTTTTGTGCCAAATCTATAAAGATTTGAGCATGGAAAACTTACAGCATATTAATGAGGACAAACCTCAAAGAACACCATTATTAAGAAACTCATCAGTTTAAAAGGGCACCCTAAGCAACATAATTTTTACACCTGCCATGGTGCCATATTAAAATGTTTTAGAAAGATTTGATATAAACCAAGGGACCTCCCAGGGACTGCCACCTTACCATCCACATTGATAATCCAGAAGGGGTTATTATGCACTATCAAAGTAAATGTTGCAAGTTATTCCTGCTCTCTTTGCCAATCAGTGTCCTGCTCGTTCTTAAACAGATTAAACTGGGGACTAAATTAGGTAGCATAACAACTACAGCTCTCTGTAAAGTTTCTGTTTCTTATGATGTCTGTTAAAAACAAAATTCTAAGGTCTCCGGTATTGTAACCCAGGGAAATCATGAAATAACATATTGTCCTCTCTTTGTCTAGGACTTATAACTTTGGCAGAGCTTCATCAGCAAGTTTTGAAGGGAAGAGGAAAGCTTGCTCAGGACGTCAGTCCGTATGTATCAATAAGTTTAATAATGGGAAATAACCCATTGTTGTTTGATGGTATCTTCACTGATGGAATGTGTCATTGCAGGGATGACATTATCAGAGCTATCAAAAAGCTAAAGGTCCTTGGTAGTGGTTTTGGAATTATCCCTGTGGGCGGATCTTACCTGGTACAGTCTGTCCCTGCAGAACTTAACATGGATCACACAGTTGTACTCCAGTTTGCAGAGGTGGGTAAAGCCAAAAGATAGACAAATGTCTCTTTTTGTAACTATTAAGTTCAGCCATTAATCCAAAAGAAAGCAAAAGAAAAAAAACCAGTTTGAAGCGCTTTCCAATTTTGGAACAAACTAGGGGAAAAAAAAAACATCTTGATCCCAGAATGGCAGTCAGATCTCTCCTTGGATCAAGAAGCTATTACCCCAAAAATTAAAAATTATATCACTGAATATTATGTTTTAGCAAGTATTCATCCAGTTGCTGTTTAAACATCTGTATAGACTCTGTTAAAACCTCCTCGTAAGGCAGAGAATTCCATATCCTTATAGTTCTTACTGTAAAAAAAGTTTCCTTTGCTTTAAACTAAATTTCCTTTTTTTTAATATTTATTCATTTTTATTTTTTTATGAACATGACCAAATACAAATAGATCCAGTAATTCATTACCTATCGACATAGTAAATTCATATAGATCTAGTACAGAGATAAGTCGAATTTACAGCAATGGACTCATTTCAAACAAAATATTAAGCCCTTTGTACCTACTCTATCTAAATAATTAAAGATAGGGTGTTCAAATATAACCTGTTTTGAGTTTAGAAAATGTTTGATCCTTAGGTAACAAAAGGTTTTGTTATAGGGTGTATTAAACCCGGGAAACTAATAAATTTATTATCAAAAAGATCTGCATATATATTTATCCCTCGTAATTTCCAATTGTAGAGATCCAGATCGATCATGTCATAATGCCGAGTTTCAAATTGGACTTGTATAAGAATCGATTCTGAAAGATTAAGTCTATTTTTCAAAATTTTTAAAACTTCTAGCATATCCATAATCAAAGTATTTAAATCTTTTGTTTCCTTAAGTCTAAGATAATTGGCCAGAATACAGTATTTAAATTGACATATGGATAGTTTTCTTGCTCTATCTGGAACCAGGCATTTCTTTGAATATTTTGTTTATTCCATATCATTACATTCGCGATTAGGCACCTTTGATGTAACTTTGCGATATCCGGAAATGAAATCCCACCTTTATCATAATTGTTTTGTAGGATCTTCTGAGAAATTCTTGGACGTTTATTTGGCCAAATAAAGTTTGAAAATAGTCTTTGGAATTGTAAAATCCTATCCTTGCCTAGTCTGAAAGGTAAAGACCTAAATAAATATAGCCATTTCGGAATTGAATAAGCGTTGACTATATTTAAACTTCCCAACCACAAGATTTAAATTTTACTCCATTTATACAATTGCTTATCGATTAAGGTATAAATATCCCTGTAGTTCTTGTGTATAATATCTTGAATATTAAAAGGGTAATTTAATTCCTAAATATTCAGTATACTCCAAGTTCAAATTGGACTGAACTTTAGATTTAAGCGTGGATAATTCAACCTCAGATAAGTTCAAAACCAAAATTTGAATTTTCTTTATATTTATTTTATAGTTTGAAATTTTCCAAAATATTTCAATCACTTTAAATCACTTTAAACACCTCTGGAATAGCAATTAAGGGTTTCATCAGGGATAGAAGCACATCATTGGAAAATAGGGAGATTTTGTAATCTCGCTCAATCCCATATATATTTTTATTTTCTCTATTAAGAATAGCCAGTGGCTCAATAGATCATACATATAATAATGGAGCCAATGGACAGCCCTGCCTCATACCATTTTTATTGAAAATGAAGGTGATTCGAAAAATGGATTTATAATTTTCACAATGGGGTCAGTATATAATGACATGATTTTATCTTTAAAAGGACCTACAAAACCGAATTTATTTAATACTCTTTCTAAAAATCTCCACTTGACTCTATTGAATGCTTTTTTAGCATCGAGAGCTAAAATAACCATTTCTGAGTTCATAAGATTACGCTTAATTATCAAAGTAAGTATTCTACGTATGGTATCCGTTGTATCTTTGTCCCTGATGAAGCCAGACTGATCGACTGATATTAAATCGGGAATAACCAATTTAATTCTGTTAGCTAGGATATGGGAATAAATTTTAATATCTAGGTTTATTAAGGAAATCAGTCTATAGTTTAATGCATTTGTTGGATCATTATCTAGTTTAGGAATCGGAATAATAGAGGCTAACAGCATCTCCTTAGGGAAGGGGTTTTTAGAAGAAACTTCATGGAATACTTTCAATAATATAGGGACCAAGATGTCCACAAATGTTTTATAGAACCTCGCTGAAAAGCCGTCCGGTCCTGGAGCTTTATTAGATTTAAGTTTTTTTTTATTGAGTTAATTATTTCTGTAGTGGTTATGGGTGCATTCAATTTATTAAGTTTTACTAGAGGTATCACCGGGATAGACAATTTATTCAAAAATTCATCCATTTCTAAATTTGAATTTAAATCTCCATTCCACCAGTCTCGAGTCCTATGTATAGTCCTGCTTTTTTGTAGCCCACTTCTGCACTTTTTCTAGAGCCATAATATCCTTCTTTAGAACAGATACCCAAAATTGTACAGCACATTCAAGGTGTGGTCTTACCATTAATTTATAAAGAGGCAAAATTATATTTTCAACCCGAGAATTAATGCCCCATTTTATACATAACTAATACCTTACTGGCCTTAGCAACTGCTGATTCACATTGCACATTGTTGCCTAGTTTATTATCTATAACAATTCCCAAATCCTTCTCGTGTCTTACCCCTAATTCACTACCATTTAGGGTGTAAGTTGCTTGTACATTCTTTATCCCAAAGGGCCTAACTTTTTTTTTTTTTTCCTACATTACATTTCATCTCCTATTTGAGTGCCGGTCCCTGCTCACATTGTATTACTTTACAGTTTGGTGTCATCTGCCAACACTAAAACATGACTTTCAAGATCATTTATAAATATATTGCGTAGATGTGGTCCAAGAACAGACTGACAACCCTAAGGGATACCACCTTTGTCCAGCTTGAAAATTTACCATTAATGACAACTCTATTTTTAAGCCAATATTTTACAGAAAAACAAACATTTTCATCTAAACCAATTTCTTTTAGTTTGAACACTAACCAACTGTGTAGAACTGTATCATATACCTTGGCAAAATCCAAGTAGATCACATCCACTGCAAACCATGATCTATACTTCTACTTACTTATTCGTAGAATGCAGTTAAGGTAATTTGATATGATCTATGTTTCATAAAACCATGCTGATTTTTAATAACCCTTCAAATACTTTCCCAGCCACAGACGTTAAGTTTACAGATCTATAATTTTGAGGCAAAGATTTCAAACCCTTTTTTTAATACAGGAACCACATCTGCCTTCCTCTAATCCTCTAATACAATTCCTGAAAGAAAAGAATCCTAAAAGATAAAAAATCGGCTTTATTTCCACACTTAGCTCCTTAGTACTCATGGGTGAATACCATCACACCCCAGAGCTTTGTTTACATTAACTTTATTTAGTTGCTGCAGCACCTTGTCTCGAGTCATTCAATCACATTTTTTTTTTTTTGCATATGACTTGCCATAGGTTTCTGCTTAATATATACTGAGGAAAAATAGTTATTTAGAATGTCTGCCTTTTCCTGGTCTTCACTAACTAACACACCCATCTCTGTTTTAAGTCTGTCTACACTTTCATTATTTGTTGGGTGTCTTTATTTCTTTTTAGAATTTATGTACATTTTTGAGATTTTATATTTTCTCTCTTTGGCTATCACTTTCTCATTTTTTAGTTTAGCCAATCTAATCACCCTTTGCATGCGTTATTGACTTCCTTATATCTTACATAGGATGCCTCTAATTTGTCTGATTTAAATTACCTTTTCTTATTTTTAATTTATTGGTTTACTTTCCCACTAAGCCACACTGGTTGCAATGTGTTTATTTGATATGTATTACCAAATTGTACAAACTGAGAAATGTACCTTTTTAATATTTGTTTAAAGTTTTTTTTGTTTTGTTTTTTAGTAAAGAGTCTATGCTATACAATATGTTGTAAAACTGCCCTTATCTTATTGCTATTGGCCTTTTTAAAATTACATGTTTTAATATACCCCATGTGCTTCTTTTTTCATTTCAAAAAACACCATATTGTGCTCTCTATTTCCCAAGTGCTCACCTACTTGAATGCTGCTCAGAAGATCTACATTGTTTGTTACAGCCAGATCCAGACAAGCGTCCTTTTATAGTTGGTGCTTGTACCAGTTACGACATGAAGTTGTCATTTACCAGGTTCAAAACTCTGATTCCCCTTCCAGAACTACTTGTCCCTCTATTCCAATTTATGTCTGGACAATTTAAAATCCCCAATAATGACTGTTACGCAGATGTGCAGCTTTTCCAATTTGATCTAAAAGCTGTTGAATATCATCAATATCTACATTAGGTGGTTTATAACATATACCAGTCAATAATTTATTTCCCTTCTTTAGCCCCATAAAGCTTCCACGTTTCCTCGTCACATTCCACTTGCTTAATAGTTGGCTTTATGGTTGCCATACAAAAGATGCTGGTAACGACTATATTATATGCATGCTGTATATTTACAAAAATAACAAACAAGAATTATACTGAATGTATAATTGTTGAATCATTTTTCTAGTCATCTTGATTATTTTACATTCTTTACTTGGGTGAGTTCTTTTTTGCCTTAATACTTGAAATTTTTATGTGATATCTTTTGGTTTTTTTTTTTTAACTATCTCACAGAAAAAAGGGTATGTAACAGTAAGTGAGATAAAAGCAAGTTTGAATTGGGAGTCCGAGAGAGCCAAGCATGTATTGGTAAGTATAATCATCTTAAAACAGCATGTATGTATTTAAATTAATATCCATTAAGTGTATGTATCTGCTAAATCGTTTTCACCATAGTCACAAAAAATTGTCTAGAATTTTAAACTCATTTTATTGCAAACTTCCACATGTGTAAATTGACTTTAAATCTTAACTTGTTGTCTTAAGTCTGCCTGGTGCTGTTCACTGCCTCTACAACTAAAAACTGGTAGGCAGGAGCTCCTAAACTCTAAGCTAAGCCCAGCTTTCTGTCATAATTAGTGAAGGCAGGGTGCATTGTCTGACATTATGCAGATAATAAATCAAACCATTATTGTGGGGAGTGGTTAATCCTGGCACCATAACCACTACAACACACTGTAGTGGTTATGGTGCTTGTTGTTTTCTTTAACCCCTTAAGGACACATGACATGTGTGACATGTCATGATTCCCTTTTATTCCAGAAGTTTGGTCCTTAAGGGGTTAAATTGCAAATGGCGAATTGCACTATTTTTTTTTCTACCCATGATAAAAAGCTTTTCTAATGTGTCAAAATAGAAGCTCTAAGGCAGTAGATGAAAGCCATTACCCTGACCTTTATTCCCACTAAACTTTAATCAATCCTCATTCTATGTAAAGTTGTATCCAGACCTATTTCATCTTCTAAATTTAAAGTCCCTCCTCTAAAACTGTAGTAGAACTACCAAAGTGTTACAGTTTTGACAATAGAAAATTTTATTCTGTGGTTTCTTTTATTTTATAGCTGATTTAAGAGCATTGCCACTGAAATCTGCACCACCACATATCAAAAGTTTAGTGAAAAGACTAGGCCACAGGTGAGACCAATTTTAGATACTCCACCCTGAGCCTCAGTGGCCAATTAACTGCCCCTGATCTGCCTGCTTGGCTGACATCACCAGAAGTGATTATCTGAGCCAATCACAATGCTTCCCCATAGGATTGGCTGAAAAAGTCAAGGAGGCAGATCAAGGGCAGAAACAGCAAAAGCCAAACACAGCCCTGGCTAATCAGCACCACCTCATAGAGATTAATTGAATCAATGCATCTCTACGAAGAAAGTTCAGTGTCTGCATGCAGAGGGTGGAGACACTAAATAGCACTGCTCACTGTGCAGCACTACCCTGGGAAGCACCTCTAGTAGCCATCTGAGGAGTGGCCAGTGGAGTTATCACTAGGCTGTAATGTAAACACTGCATTTTCCCTGAAAAGACTGTGTTTACTACAAAGCCTGAAGTGAACGATTCTACTCACCAGAAAAAATACAATAAGTTGTAGTTGTTCTGGTGACTATAGTGTCCCTTTAAGTACACAGTGTGCTTTGATCTAGTTGGTTCCCACTGTTGCAGGTTAGGAATTCTTTAGTTCATAATGATTAATCTTTTCAATGTTTACGATCCACATTTACAAAATATATTGGGAGTCACAAACAAGAACATTAGTGAAAACAGAACTGGGAATCCTGCTTATGAGAGTGCAAACTCCTGCGTAAACTTACAATAAATAGTAGAGAAAGTACCGGTAGTTGTAAACTAAGGTAGTCTAGAGTTGGGGGCTTGACAAGTAGGTTAGATGGCTTGCTAGAGCGAGGATAGGTAACTGCCAGTTGAGAGAGGCTAAAGAGATGAGCAGATGTTTGGTACATTGGACCAGTGAGATAGTCAGTGGTGACAGTAGCACATACAAGCTTTATTTAATTTAGTTTTGTTTGTTCTTTCAGTCTGGTGAAGCCCCAAAACTAACTAGGGGCATTTAGCCTGTAGCTTTAGGAATACAGATATGTATTCTGAATGTACCAATGTCCATTTAAGGTCAAAAGAGCCAAACTGTAAAGTCCAAACCTGTGTGTCTTAATTGTAACAATTACAGGCAGAATTTGTGCATGGCAGACTGCCACTAATACCTATTTTTCTATTTTTCACTTATCTAGGAGCACTTACTGAAGGAAGGTTTGGCATGGATAGACTCACAGGCTCCTGGAGAGGCCCAATATTGGCTACCTGCCCTCTTTACCGAACTTTACTCTCAACAAATTTCCCCAGAGGAGACAAAGGGAATGATACCCTGAAACCTAACAGTGAGGCCTTTAAAGAAAGACATCAATCCTACCTCAGACTCAACTGTCAAAAAATAAATCCTCTGAGGGAAAAGAATATTCTTTTATATTTAGTGAGGGGAATAAAATCTGAAATCCTGATTCTCTATGGCAATCAGAACGAGGGACGTTTTGGATTTCTTATAGTTGGTATATATCTGGTCCTCTGCAAATGCACTCTTTGAGAACAAGTATGTTTATTGGATCCTATCATACCAGCTGCATTTTTTTCCCCACAATGTTTCCTGCATTTTTTGGTAACTGATGAATAACTATATGACTGTCCCTGAAGCAATATTGGGGCCACTGTCAGTCTGTATGGGTCCAGATTGCAAAGCTCATGATTCCCCTTTAAATTGTATTTCTTCTACACACTCTTCATTTACTAGGTTTATCCTTCTTGAGTTCCATAAATCATTTTTGCTGTAGCACCCACCATACACTGCTACAATAAACTGTTCCTATCCCATGTTTCCTTGAACATAATGTGGATTTTAGCCTTTCCTCTTTTTCAAAACAGATCGTGTTACTTATTTCGTAGAACAAACTAGCTGAATTATCTAGGAGTAGCTTCATGGGTTCCTGATCACTGTTGCCGAGCTTACTCTAAAGTACTTGTTTGTTTATATAAACAGGGACTCTTGCTTTCATGGTTCATTTACAATAAACAAACTTCACACTATAGCAGTAGCTGTATTATGGAATCACCTGGGAATAATACATCTGATTCCTAATCTTTTCAGCCCAAGAGAAACCTGAGGAGACATTGATGGATCCTTTAGTAATAAAGTCTAGAAGCTAATTATAGTTCAACATGAGATTATCCTTCAATACTCATTCCAATTTATTCCAGCATATTTCCAAAATGTGGTGGGATCTGCTCCCTTCCCTTGCTTGTCCCAAAATAGTTTTCTTGTAGAATTTTAAAGCTTGGTTTCATTGTTCTCAGATTGGCAATAGGTCAACGCCCATTGCTTCATACAGGGAGGACATATTCATAGCTAGGCTGCCTTTGACAGACTATTGCATCTATGAAGCCTCCACAATATTTGTTCCCCAGTCTTTAAAATGTGACTTTACATTATGTTTACTGCTGTGTCTGCACTTTACCATTGCGTTTCCAGTTATAAGGAGAACTAAGAAGCTGGATTGAGCTAATTGCAGAAACCACATAAAATGTGGGCAGTTCTAGCTACATCCATGCAAACATTTTTAAAAACCATTTAAATTAACTTGGTTTAAAATTCTCTTTTTTTTTTTTTATGTTACCAGGAAAAAACTACTTTTAAATGGAAGAAAAATGTGTGTTATAGCACAGTTCCGGCTGTGTATTAATAATGCCTCTCTGTACTTGGAAACTATTAACCTGCGAATATCACTGCAAAATCAGTTGTAAGCTGTTGAGTTTCATAAAACTTGTTTGTGGCAAATTCACTTGAAAAGGACTGAGTTCTCAATACAAACAATAAAACTAAGCCTAGCAGGGTATTAATAGCTTTCGGAAAATTTCCAAAGGGTGGAAGGATCCCAGGTGTTACACAGAACAGGTGATTGTTTACATTGGCAGAATCATGCTTTTCCAAAATGAATGGGCTTGCAGTGGTCCCAACATGTATGAATAAAAATAAGACCAATTAGAAACTATGACCTATTTATTTATTTTGCAGTTAAATGCTAATTTTCTGATAATGAACTACAGATATCACAGCTAGCACATAAATGTAGGATAAAAATGTCATTATGAATGAATCCTGTTCAGAAATCTGTTCCCACAGAAATTAAATTACAGCTACTCCTCACTTACTGACCGGATTCCGTTCTTACGACGCGGAAGTAAAAGAAATTGGTTGGTAAGTGAGGATACGCAACAGAGCATGTGCACCAGTGCAGGTCTATGTTTGGGGATTACCTGCTGTGCTTGTATATGTTGGGGGAAATTTACCCGAACGTAGACATACCACAAGAGCAGGGAATTCCTCTAATCTATGTTCGGGAAAAATTCCCCAAACATAGACCAGCTCTCTAATGTGGGGAATGAATTGAATCCCCATGCTAGAGAGTTGGTCGTAAGTGTGAGCCGTCATAAAGTGAGGACCACCTGTAATACAATTTGAATTTTTTTATTTATTCATCTTTTCTGAAATACTGGGGAGAGAAAAAGTAATATGACGACATATACTGTTTTTATAGATATGAGATATTTATAGAAAATGCAACAGGATGCTCAAAATTCGGAACAAATGGCCAATATAAATGCAAAAGTATAGGTATACACTACTATACAGGGGGTTGCAAGATGAAATTAGACTTTACAAAAAAAAAAAAAAACTGTTCTACATAGTTACCTAGGCTGAAAAGAGACATGTGTATATCAAGTTCAGACTTTCTCACATCTGTTTTTGCTGTTGATCCAAAAGATGGAAGGAAAGAAAAAAAAGCCTTTGAAGCACTTTCCAGTTTTACAACAAACTAGAGGAAAAAATCCTTCTTGACCCAAGAATGGCAGTCAGATGTATTTTTGCATCAAGATGTTGTTAACCCACACATTAAAAATGATTGAATATTATCTTTTTCTAAGTATTCACAGTTGCTGTTTAAAAATCGGTATGGACTTTGATAAAAACCACCTCGTTAGGCAGATACTTCTACATCATTCTTACTGTTAAAAAAAAAAAAAACCCTTTCCTTTGCCTTAGACTAAATCTCCTTTCTTCTTTGTGTCCTATCTATAATCTGGTTTATGAATAGATATCCAGACAGTCATTTGCATTGGCCCTGAATATATTTGTATAATGCTATCATTATGCTCCAACATGAATAGTTTGCACTTTAAAATAGTGGGTAAAAAGCCTGTGGTGTCACGTTCCCTTAAGTTATATCAAGAAATTATCCAAGCACCGAAACCACTACAGCACACTGTAATCAATAAATATTTCACTTACCTGGGGTCCACCGCTCTTTTCCTCCCAGCAGAGTGTGAAAGCCAGAAGCTCCTGTAGAAGCTTTTGCTCACTCTCCTGGGCTAAGCCTTGCAGTGGAGAGCCATCACATTGGGCCGAGATCATTTAAGAGCTGAGAGAAGTGGCAGGAAGTGGTGGAGTGCTAAGGAACCATAACCAATCCTACATGTAGTAATTGTGGTGCATGGAGTGTTACTTTAACCCCTTAAGGACCAAACTTCTGGAATAAAAGGGAATCATGACATGTCACACCTGTCGTGTCCTTAAGGGGTTAAAGTACTGTTTATGGTTCAACCTAGGACCACAAGTATCATGTTTTGCCCCAGAGTGTGATTGTGCTAGCTGTAGTGCTTTAGGTATTAATAGCATGCCCCTCCATCTAACTATATAAAAGTGTTGAAAATCAGAGGGGAGAAAAAGAAACAATCCAACATTAGAAAGAAAGGTATTGCAGATGTTGGAGTGTTCCTTTAAGCAGGGGTGTGGAGTTTGTATCACCCGACACCAGAAAAATGTAGTTCTAGGGGCCAAACAGAGCGAGCTAATTTTTGGCCTGCTAAAGGGGAACTTTGGGTGGTCTGGGGAGAGAGCATGTGGACTGCATTCCTGGCAGCTGCAGCCCGCAGTAATTACTCCTCGCTGTTCATAGGGGTGTAGAAATTTAATAAAAATCTTTGTACAAGGGACTAGAGCAGGGGTTCTCAACGTTAATCCTCAGGACCCCCTACCAGTCCAGGGTTTAGGGATTACCTGGGTGTGTCTCAGGTGTTTAGAAAAAAAAAAACACCTTAGAGTCTAAGGTGTTTTTTTTCCCTTTTTCTAAACACCTGAGACACACCCAGGTAATCCCCAAATCCTGGACTGGTAGGGGGTCCTGAGGACTGGGTTGAGAACCCCTGGACTAGAACATTAGCCCAATCTATTCACTATTCATTACTCAAATTAAATCAAAATGGAAAAACAGGCAAATTCATCTTGAAAACTTTCCAACACAAGTTACAACCTTTTGCCTGTTTTTCCATTCATTTCCATTTGTAAAGATTCCAAGTTTATTGAATAAGTGTTTAACCCATCACCCTATTGATAGAGAACGTGTCTGTGTAATTTTATTGCATGCTTTGTTTTGACGGTTTGACCCCTCCTGCATAGGTTTCTCCATGGAGGAGTGCTACTGCGACGATGGTCCAGTGGGGGAGCATTTGATCTTCACCTCTAGCCAGTGCAGATCACTGTAATCACGCCATCGCAATACTTGTGATCAATAACTAAGAGTGTATGCTAGGAATCCTAGCTGCTGCAATCTGTCAAAGGGTAAGCAATGGACCACAAGGGAATGATTACTGTTTACTGCACACACTAGAAGTGAGACTATATGGTTCCTGTTCACCACATCACCTCTAGCAGCCAAAGGTAGAAAAAAGTTTCCCCAGGAAATAGGAATTCTACAACTCTGCAAACCATACACACATTACATGCAACCAGCACGCACTATGAGAGAATACAGAGGGCAAGACACTAAACCCTTCTGCAAGACAAACATTTTTGCAAATTGAATTTAAATGGCAAAACTGAACAGAAATGGTGACCTATAGTGTTTAAAGTTTTTCCAGATCACACATTTTGACTTCATTTCTCCATTCAGATTTGATTTGAGAAAATTCAAAGTTTAGTGAATAGTCATGTCAATTCCCACGTGTAAGTAGGTTCCCCACAGTTTTTAATTGAAATTATTTACCAGTCAGGCCAGGTAGATGGGACTTCCACTCTCAACACCCCTGTTTAAAAGTGTGTTTAGTTGCAGTCTACTTAAAAGTCCATTCTCAATTAATCCCACTAGAAACAGGCCCTAAAATACACATGTGCTTGTCTGAAGAGAAAAAAAAAAACAGGGGAGGATAGATGATGAGAAGCTCTATCTAAACCCTTAGTGACCAGACCGCTTTTCAATTATCTTACCGTTAAGGACCATGGCTGTTTTTACATTTCTGCAGTGTTTGTGTTTAGCTGTAATTTTCCTCTTACTCATTTACTGTACCCACACATATTACATACCATTTTTCTCACCATTAAATGGTCTTTCTAAAAGATACCATTATTTTTATGATCTAATTTACTATAAAACAATTATAAAATATAATGAAAACAAATGTACAAAAACTGACTTTTTCGAACTTTGACCGTCAAAATCTGCATCTACAACTGCCAAAAAACACCCATGATAAATAGTTTCCAAATTTCGTGATGGGGTTAAAGGAACCTAAGACTATAGTGTCCCTCTGCCCCTGCGGAACCCAGAGGTAAATAAAGCATTGAAAAACCTTTTTTCAGTTACCTGATTCCAGTGCCCAGTCGCTCTCCTCCAATATCAGCGAGATCCAAGAACCTAATGCGCATGAGCAGCACATGCTCGCCAAGCCTTCCCCATAAGAAAGCACTGAATCAAAGCTTTTGTATAGGGATTTTGAAAATGCCAGTTGTTCTCATGCAAAGCATGAGGATGTCCAGCATCATTTCAGGGAGTTACACTCCAGTTAAATCAAGGAAGCAGTCCTAGTGGCTATCTGGAAGACAGCAACTAGAGGCAGTCTTAACCCTGCAGTTTCTCTGAGTTTTACAATAAAAGACTAAGGTTACAAGGGACACTTCAATGAGATGAAGTGGTCTGGGTGCCTATAGAGATGATGTTCTTAAAAAACATGATAGTAACACCTGTGATTGCTCACTACTTGTAGCTGCCAGATGTAGATAAGCCAGCAAGACCTCTGCAAATACAGCAATAACCCCCCTAGACCTTTACCAGTGGTTTTAGAATATATAAAGTCAATTTACAGACATGTCAATCTTAATTGTCACTGATTTACTGGTTCACTTCCCTTTTGGAACAAAATGGAAGCCCACAACTGCACTATAACCCCCAAATGATATACCATAAGCAAAAGGAGAGCAATTTAAATCTTTTCACTCATTTCATCACCAATTTCAGTCACATGTATAAATTGGTACATGTATTGTTTTTTCACATGCCTACCCTTTAAAGCATGGGTGTCCAACCTTTTGGTTTCCCCAGGCCACTTTGAGCAAAGAGGAATTTTCTTGGCCAGCACACATTATATATAATTAATTTAGATCATTAAACTTCAAAATCCCTTTTCTTAACTTTGATATTTTGTTACTAGATAACTCCCTGATTTGTTATCCTTATGTGGGATTGCCATATTTAATGATACAAAATTAGGGAGCTATCCACTAAACACATACGCATGTATATACATATAAATATAACCATAGATATACACACAATCACATACACACATATATGTAATTAAGAGGTCCATTCCACCTCTCTACCTTGCTCATGTAGGCTTGGAGTGGATCCTCTCCCAGGAGGCTAGTGGTTGCTGCTGTGATGGAATCACTGTGCTCTTCCTGCACAGATCCCTCGCGCATCCACTAGTGATGCCGGGATGATGCCATATCCCAGCTGCCAGCTCACTGCAGGGTGCGCGAGGGAGCTGTGCAGATAGACCGTAAGTAATGGGCTTCCTGCCTCCCTCGCAGCCTGACAGCCCAGACGTCAACTGGACCACATTACAAGCAGCTTAACCCCTTAATGACACATGAAGGAAATATTCCGTCATGATTCCCTTTTATTCCAGAAGTTGTGTCCTTAAGGGGTTAAGGCTGCATACGGCACACATGCTGTGGGATGGGCACTCCTTTTTTAAAGGAATACTTTAAACACCATAACCACTAAACCCCTCTCATTGGCTAGTCCCTTAGTAAAATGTCAAACTGTTTTAGGATCTTACCATGGGTAGTAACAAGGAGTAAGAGAGGAGGGATCATGGGGAAAAGTGACACGCTATGGATGAGATGAAGAATGTGCTTGACAAAGTGACAGAGGGAAAGAGAAATAGATGGGAAATAGAAAGTCTCTTTTGATAAGTAAGGTTAAAAGTGATATTAGAAAAGAAAAGAAAGGTGAAGATACACTTCTGACTGGCACTCCGCATAAATTCACACATGACAAACTGACTATACATGCAAATACACTTGAATAAATACACACTCCAGATAATCACCCTCACATTGCAAACTGTAAACACTTGCATATACACACACTGACACATCATGCCGTCACTATCCCATGTATGAAAACAAAGTGCTGGTGAGAATTTGTAAGCCCATTCCATACCACTAGTTTGATGAGATACTGAGGATCCACAAAAGTAGGAAAGCTGTGAATTAAATGGGAGGGGGGAGTGAAATTATATATATATATATATATATATATATATACATAAACAAAGCAAAAAATGAGAGCACTCCATGGATTTGGTAAATCAAATTACTGTATTCAAATAGCACAAAAAAAAAATCGACGTTTCGACCGTCTAGCGGTCTTTATCAAGATGCCTTGATAAAGACCGCTAGACGGTCGAAACGTCGATTTTTTTTTGTGCTATTTGAATACAGTAATTTGATTTACCAAATCCATGGAGTGCTCTCATTTTTTGCTTTGTTTATAGTATTTTGCACAGAGAAGCACCTGGTATGTATTATTATTTGGGAAGAGTGCCAGAAATTGTATAGTTTCTATATATATACATATATATATATATACACACACACACACACCAAACAGATCAACCTCTTGCACTCCTACTAAAAAAAGTATTAAATACCTGGTGTGTCAAGTCACAGCAATATAGATATATCAAAAAATACCGGCACTCTTTGCTTTGTTCATCCGATTTATTTTTGGTGAATCCAAAGATGTCAACGTTTCAGCTCCCGGTTGGAGCTTTCATCAGGACACACGAAAATGTTCCTGATGAAAGCTCCAACCGGGAGCTGAAACATTGACATCTTTTGATTACCAAAAATAAATCGGATGAACAAAGCCTAGAGTGCCGGTATTTTTTTGATATTATATTTATATATATACACACACACACACACACACAACTATAAACTTTTGTTTTTGCCCCCATTTGTCATGAGCTGAACTTAAAGATCTAAGACTTTTTCTATGTAAACAAAATGCCTATTTCTCTCATATATTGTTCACAAATCTGTCTAAATCTGTGTTAGTGAGCACTTCTCCTTTGCCGAGATAATCCATCCACCTCACAGGTGTGGCATATCAAGATGCTGATTAGACAGCATGATTATTGCGCAGGTGTGCCTTAGGCTGGCCACAATAAAAGGCCACTCTAAAATGTGCAGTTTTACTGTATTGGAGTGGTGGGGGTCAGAAAATCAGTCAGTATCTGGTGTGACCACCATTTGCCTCACGCAGCGCAACACATCTCCTTCGCATAGAGTTGCTCAGTTTGTTGATTGTGGCTTGTGGAATGCTGGTCCACTCCTCTTCAATTGCTGTGCAAAGTTGCTGGATATTGGCAGGAATTTGAACACGCTGTCATATACGCTGACCCAGAGCATCCCAAACATGCTCAATGGGTGATATGTCTAGTGAGTATGCTGGCCATGCAAGAACTGGGATGTTTTCAGCTTCCAGGAATTGTGTACAGATCCTTGCAACATTGGGCCGTGAATTATCATGCTGCAACATGAGGTGATGGTTGTGGATGAATGGCACAACAATGGGCCTCAGGATCTCATCACGGTATCTCTGTGCATTCAAAATGCCATCAATGAAATGCACCTGTGTTCGTTGTCCATAACATACGCCTGCCCAAACCATAATCCCACCACCACGGGCCACTTGATCCACAACGTTGACATCAGCAAACCGACACCATACACACCATCTGCCCTGCACAGTGAAACCCGGGATTTATCCGTGAAGAGAACACCTCTCCAAAGTGCTAGACGCCATCGAATGTGAGCATTTGCTCACTCAAGTTGGTTACGACGACGAACTGCAGTCAGGTCGAGACACCCGATGAGCATGCAGATGACAGTGCAAAAGCTCTTTGGATATGCAAACCAGTTGTTGCAGCAGCTGTCCAGGTGGATTGTCTCAGACAATCTTGGAGGTGAAGATGCTGGATGTGGCAGTCCTGGGCTGGTGTGGTTACACGTGGTTTGCGGTTGTGAGGCTGGTTGGATGTACTGCCTAATTCTCTATAACACCTTTGGAGTCGGCTTATGGTAGAGAAATGAACATTCAATTCACGGGCAACAGCTCTGGTGGACATTCCTGCAGTCAGCATGCCAATTGCACACTCTCTCAAAACTTGCGACATCTGTGGCATTGTGCTGTGTGATAAAACTGCACATTTTAGAGTGGCCTTTTATTGTAGCCAGCCTAAGGCACACCTGTGCTATAATCATGCTGTCTAATCAGCATCTTGATATGCCACACCTGTGAGGTGGATGGATTATCTCGGCAAAGGAGAAGTGCTCACTAACACAGATTTCTGAACAATATTTGAGAGACATGGGCCTTTTGTGTACATAGAAAAAGTCTTAGATCTTTGAGTTCAGCTCATTACAAATGGGGGCAAAAACAAAAGTGTTGCGTTTATAATTTTGTTCAGTGTGTGTGTATGTGTATATATATATATATATATATATATATATATATATATATATATATATATATATATATATATATATATATATATATATATATATTTATTATAGAGACAGGTTTTATACTTTGATTATAATAACTTTTGTATTTTAAAGTGATAATCCACATAACCACCATTGGCACTGAGCTGCAGTACTTGCATGATTTGTATACCAACAAAATAATGTGATATGCTGGTTCTTTATAAACATTATTATTTACAGTGGACTATGTTACATCTACTAGTTTTTAGTGAAAAAGTATATATATGGATTTTTGAAAAGCAAGTTACACATTCTTGAAAAATAACTTGTGAACCTGGGCATTAAGCTACACAATGTACACGCTGTATGTGGATTAACATCAGTACTAGCAGACATCTTAATCTAGGAAGCCAGACATGTTTTCAGCAAGTCCAACACTTTACTTTACCTCTATGCTTCACCAACATTCCTCTTATAAAACAAAAAATAATTAGAACTATACATTAACAAGTTTATACAAAAAAAAAAAATATTATATATGAAAAGAATGAAGTAAAAATATTAAAGCAGAAGTCTTGATTTATTCCTGTAGCAAACATGTGTACCATCTAAATAGACAAAGCCCAGTAGGTAAAAGAAAGTGCATTTTGTGGGGAAAGTAAATTAAAAAGATAGTGGCTTCTGTCAGATCTGAAACTTAAAATGGCATGTCACGTATGGGGAAGATGCCGTGGCTGAGAACAGCTCTGTTCTCGTAATGAAACTCTTTGGCTTCTCTTGCCAATAACTGTCCATTCACTGAAGGAGGTATCTCCGTACAATGTAAGCGCTGTCCTCGTGATACGCCCAGGAACCAGAGATCCTTGTCTCTCTATTATAAATCCCCCACAGGATGTCTCCCTCCTCTGTATGTCTAGGGAGCAGAGGATATCACTTGTTTCTGCCTCTAAACAGCAGCCAGAGCAACCTTACTCTGTGTTACACAAAGTCTTTTCATGTCAAGAGCAGTCCATGATACTTGGATAACGTTACGGTCTGTGGCTCTGCCACCAACCAAACATTTACATTCCTATGATTTTTAAGGGTTTGAGCTTCCCTGTGTGTCTGTTTCTGTCTCAGATGAACTGGAATCAGAGTCTATGTCCAATGCTTGCCGCTGGTGTTTCTCCCGCACTTTCTGCTGAATAGTTTGCAGGCGGCTGAGCAGAGACTGATAGTCAAAGTGACCACGTTTTTCACCAAACGGGTCCTGAAAAGAACAAACAAAACAAATCAAATCCTGAAATGTCTAGCATGCAGAAAAACTACTATTTATATGGGTGCCTTACCACACCAATAGCAAAATATATGCTATTAGTTTTCTTCTGTAAAGAAAAACAAGCTAGTCATTGGCTAGTGACATCCGTAAACTGGATCTTTCACTTACAGAGTTGCTTTCCTTTGGGGTTTTGGGATTTTTTTTTCCCATGTATTAATTTGCGGACCATATAAATTAATCTAACCACACATTTTACTGGCCACTACTAGCCTGAAGGGTCCATGGCACACTTACCTGTGGTAAATTTCTACTTGCCAGGGCTACATTTTCACTTGACAATTACTAGTGGAAATTTAGAGTCTGCCCCACAATATTGCAAGTGTCTGTGTGTACACTGTATTATGGAAAGAATTCCCGAGCTTTAATGCACTTTATTTATCTTCAAACACACAAGCAAGCAGGAGCAGTCCAGGAGCATCATGGGGCAAGTATGTAGCCGCATGGGAAACGCTATAGACGGATCTTTGCTTTTTTTCCCCCCCTCTCTAATATCTTGACAGTGTTGGCATGTTTTCCCATATCAGCTACTTTGCTTCAGGTTTTCCATTTGTTTTGCAAATACCCGTGGCAATATTATCGCATTTCTATATGCTTATATCTGTTAGCAGTTTCGAAAAATACAATGCATTTTAAATCGGGAAAGAAAATATAACCGTGACAATATTAACACATGACATTTGCCTCATTCTCTATCATATAGGCCAGTGGTTTCCAAACCAGTCCTCAGGGCACACCTACCAGTCCAGGATTTAAAGATTTCCCAGTTGTGTATAAGGTGTTTTTGGAAGAATAAGACATTTTTTTTTTTGTTTTTTTAAACACCTTTAACACAACTAGGTAATCTTAAAAATCTCGACTGGTAGGCGAGTCTTGATGACTGGTTTGGAAACCAATGATATAGGGTTTAACAGTTACTCCTTGCTGTGATTTTAAAGATACAGGCGTCCATCTTTTCTGGTCTATGCTAGGTTATTGAAGGAGTAATGGAAAGGAAAAAAAAAAAAAAAAAAATCAAAACAAACCTTACCTGCATATTTTGTCCCTGTAGGTGAAATCTATCCTTGCAGACCACTTCATAAAAATCATAATAATCCATGAAAGATTTCTCCATGACACTCCTGAAAACAAACAAATCAAGTAGTAAAAAATAAAAGAAAACTTAAATAGAAGCCTTTTTAGAAAATGGCATTCGTTTAATTCTCTGTAGCATGCATGCATACTTCCATTTTGTGTTACTTGCAGAACCTTATCAATCTCCAGAAACGCATGGAAGGCCTCACATTCTTTGAGCAGTCAATAATGGTGTAGAGCAGGCCTTAAATTCCAAGTCCTAAGCCCCTAGCTATACCTTCAAAAGTTATTAACCACTGCAAGCCTGGAGGGTTGGCAACCAGGAATTAAAGGAACATTGTAGGCACCCAGACCACTTCAGCTGTTTGAAGGGGTCTGGTGCTGTGACCCTTTTGCACTTAGTGCTGCAATGTAAGACATTACAGTTGGAGCTCTAAGTCTGCCCTCTGTGGCTGTCTAACAGACACCCATGAGGGCTTCCGGTCCGTTATCCGACGCTGGACGTTCTCACAGACCTCTAGCTTCAGATTTTCCCCATAGGAAATAATGCTTTCCTATGGGGGACGTCTAATGCGCACGTGGCCTATTGTGCCAGGAAAACAACTATACGTTTATAAAACGACTGTTTTCCTGGCACTATAGGATCCCTTTAATTTCTATGTGCCAAAGGGCTTGTGGAAATGTTGAGCTCTTGGTTCACTTGCTATTTTATTACTTCTTTTATTGAAGAGTATATAAATCATGCTTGTGTGCATACTCGAGACAAAAAAAAACTACCTCACAACTATAACAAATTTACATAATTTTTTTGTTGTTTGTATTTTTTAAATTGCCATGGGTTACACATTTTAGGTCAGAATATTTAAGTTGAAGGAGCTTTTAATTCACCTATTTTGTCTTATAATTTGCAAAATTCTGGTTAATAACTTTTGGAAAAAAAAAAACAATCATTAGAAAATCTCCCAAGAACTGACTCAAGATGAAAGCGTAAAAGAAACAAATAATAAAAACATACACTCCAAAGAAGGTATGCCTCAGTGTTTGGCCAACAAACTAATAATGGGAATGATGTGAATGATAAAAGAAAAAAAAAAACTCCCCCGCAAAACAACCTTGGGGAGAACAAGACACATACAGGAAAGGACATATAATAAACAGAAAATATGATACAAAAGAAACAAAATAAGGGAGGGAGGGAGAGGGAGAGAGAGAGGGAGAGAAAGGAACAAGGGAGGACAAACCATGCATCCCCATTCTATGTGGGGAATAACAAACATAACAGACTAAAACATGTACAATGCAGAATGTAACTAGATACAAACCCAGCGCCAATATGACAAATAGTTCCTTTGTGGCTTAAATAATAACATCTAAGCCCCTATACGGCAGTGTTTACTTAAACTGCCACCAGAGGTGCTTCCTAGGTCAGTGCTGTACAAAGTGCAGCACTGATATTTAGTGTCTAAGTGCCCTACATGGAGGAGACAATAATTGACGCAGCAAGACATTTTGCCTTGCTCGCGCAATAACTTCCCACTGCTTTCATATGGGAGAGCATTGGACTGGTAGAAACAGTCAATTTTGATAATCTCAGCCAAAGAGGTGGAGCGAGGTGGAGCCAACCACAACCGGCGTGGCCCCGAGAAAAAGAAAAAAAGGTCAGTGTAGGGTGGCAGCCACCTAAATAGCACTATTAGAACTATAGCGTCAGGAGTGCATGTTTGTATTCATGACATAGTGTTCCTTTAAGAATTACTGGTTGTCGGTTTTGGAATATGCATGTGCTTATAGGGACTTTCTTCCCTCAAGGCATCTGCATCCTAATTAAAGTGAGGAGTCCCTAGGAGAACATAATGTAAATCTCAGTGGAAGCCAATCACTGCTTCCCCATCAGTGAAATATGAAGGTGTGCTGTGGCAAGGACCAGAACCAGCATAAATGGGCGCGCCAGGGACCAACTGCAGAATCAACCATTCAAAAATGTTTTATGCTCTTGAAGTCTAGATGAACCCAGTAGTTTTGAGGAAAGAGAGCCCCTTTAATATGTTAAGTCATACAGCATATTTTCAAACGATGGCTTTGATTTACTAAGCTTTCTAAATGATTCAATACTAGTAGAAAAAAAAACAAAAAAAAAGAACACAACTTTCCAAATGATTCATCTACATGAGTCACCATTTAAGTCTGTTGGAGTTTTTTTGAGATACATCATTTGGAAAGCTTTTTAAAATGAATTCCATATTTTTTTATATGTACTATGAACAGAGCCTCTTCGATGCATTTTTCTGTACTGCTCTAAGTTTTATTTGCTGTTGAGAAGTACCTGTAAGTTCTGTCTAGACATTTTGTTCACATGCTGCAGCCGGAAAGTAATTACAATAAAGACAACCAATAAGCACTGTCATGAATTATTAATTTGTCTCATCAAGAAGAACATAAAAACGGGCAGCACTAAAAGATGTAAGTGGTCATAATGTTTACCTTAGTACTGTGACGTTTCAGCTCCTTCGAAGCCTTAAATCATGCATAAAAAATCTGGAGACAGCCATCTGTATATTTATAGCATCGGGCGAATTAATCACATAATATTAATCAATTGGTATAAAAGAAAATGTGCTGTGAAGTGTCAGAAAGCCAATATATGACATGGAATCAAAACATACATCAAAGAGGAAAAGACTGATGTGGAGGTGTATGTCCCATTATATGTGAATACATGGCGTAATTTTCTTATATTTGTATTTAGGCTAGCAGATTTTATATTATTTTGTATATACTTTTGTTTTCATTTTATTTATTTGTGGTTCTTATGTATACCACTTCATTTCTTGACTTATTTACATCAGTTTTTTTCCTCTTTGCTTAATGTTTTGATTCCATGTCACAGTTTGTTTTTTTGGCACTTAACACCACATTCTTTTATACCAATTGATTAATACCATGTGATTATTTAGCCCAATGCTATAAATACACATTACATGACTGCCTTCATATTTTATGCATGATTAAGGCTCGAAGGAGCCAAGATGTCACACTACTCAGGTTACACTGTGATCACTTGCATCCTGCAGTGCTGCCTGTTCTTCTTGGTAATGGGACGGATTGGTGGTGTCCGTTCGAGTGGACTGCATCCCGGGAGAGTGGATGGGTCATTAGGTGAAACCAGAGTGCGGGTGGCTTGTTTCTTGTTAATTTGACTCATCAGGCAGCAGGAGTTTGACATATTGCTGGGCAGTATTATTTATGCAACATAGCCATTTTAAAATAAAAAAAAAAGATCTGCCATTAACTTGGAACTTTCTAAATGCTTCAAGAGACGCCTCAGCCATGTTCTTCAAGACAGCTATTTATTCCACAGGTTGTGTAGGGTTTTTTTAAGGGTACACTCAGAGCACCAATACGACAAATGCATTTGACAGATTATCGCCCAATTAATATGCTGTAGTTTTTTTTTGTGTGTGCATCTTCAAAACTTTATAGTTTTGTATAAAATGAAAAAAAATTAAAAGTTTTGCAGAATTCTGCACCATAAGCCTGGCTATTAAGTCACACCACCTCACACCAAAAAAAAAGATTACCTTATCAAATGTCAGCGCACAGTTCAGCCACTGAGTAACCTAAACTATAAAGCAGCTTGTAATAGGAAAGGGCACCCAGGGAGTCTTAAGGAAAGGATAAAATTAAAATAGGTACATTAAGAGCAGCTCACTCTTTCTGGCATGAGCTGGCATGGCTAAGGAGGCAGGCTTATGGTGCAGCATTTTGCAAAATATTTATGTATTACAGAGACACTATAGAAAACCAGACTAATTAATCTCATTGAAGTGGTCTGGATGCAGTGCCCCAGACTGTTTAACCCTGCAATGTAAAACATGCAGTTTTTGGGGGGCGGGGCCGGACCGCCATGCTGACCGGTCGCATGCAGGAGAGGCTCCGGAGAAATCAGGCCTCATACTGCAACTCTGACACCCGCATGGAACCCAAAGCAAGTACCCGCGGCTGCGGACAAAGCAGCAGAACCCGAGATCGGAAGTTTTGGATCCCCAGAGGGGGGTACGAAACTTCGGGGACTGCGGCCCACTCGGGAGGGAGCGGGGTGGATAGCCACTGCCCTGTCTCCCTACCCGGACACCACAAGCAGACCTCATCTAATGCCTGCCGGTCCCGTTCCCCCCATTGGAATCGGGGGGATATCCCAGTCCCCATATCGGAGGGCTCGGGAAGTGTGGAGACCACGAGGCAGGATGCTCCCGGGCCAACCTGCTAAGATGGCGATGGCGCGGGGCACAACACCAGCAGCTCCTGCCCTATGAAGCCCCAGGGGAGAGAAACCGCACCACTCACCCAAACATACAACCGCAAGATCAGCCCAGCGGTAAGTCCTCTACTAGTCTTCGCCGGGTGAACACAGCAAGCCCCCGGCTTACACAGACACCAAGCCCGCCCAAAGAAACAGCATGCCTCCCAACCAGGACAAGGGAAACTCTTCTACTGCCATGACTAAACAGCCACCTCAGACCTGCGATAGCACCTTCAGATGGTGGATTTTACGTCTCCAGAGACTACCTTATGGCACAATATGCCGCTACAGAGCCCACCTGGCCCCACACAGATGCCTGCAGGATCACAGCAGCTGGCTGATGACAGCGCAAACAGCGACCATCGCAGGGGCACCAGAGGGTGGTCTGGAGGAACAGCTGGGGGGGCTAGCTTAAGTCCCGACAACCCAGTACCGCTTTCCCTATACAGGACTCACTTGCCATGCAGCACTGCAGATGACACCGGACCAGGCGACATAGCAGAAGAACACTACACTGAAATGTACTCTGCCTGTCTTGCTAGCACGCTAGGCTACTTAACATGCAATCTTTCACTCTGCCTAACACACACTGCCCGCGACTCCACCACTCAGAGACCTCCCTCCACTATCACTACACAATCACCTTGCTCACTGTAGGCGCACTCATGATTAGCAATCTATACCTGAGCACCCACCACTCACATAACGACCATATAACCATGTATGCATCGACTAGCTACTCTACAAAAGTTCCACTCAATTATCACAAGCCTGTTACCTTTCACAAAAATTAAATGTGCTGATAACTCTGCCATGTTATTGTATTCCACTGAATAGCTTGTACTCACTGTCGTGGCGCTACAAGCTTGTCTGTAATATTGTGCACAAGGAAAAATTAAAAATAAAATAAAAATAAAATAAAAGACATGCAGTTTCTGATTACATTAACTGCACCTCTAGTGGCTGTCTTACAGTGCTTAGCGGAGTTTTACTCCATTAACCAATGTTGGACATTATGTTCGTGGGTGGAGGAAACCTAGCCTCCCTCAGCATGGAAAAGAAGTTAGAAAAGGGTTTTTGACCCTTTACTTATCAACAAGGTTTGAGATCTAGAAAATGGAACAGAGACACTATAGAGTTAGGTGATAGGAATACAGGTTTGTATTCCTAACCCTAGTGTTGTATTGGTACCCATAGTGTCCCTTTAAATGACACATACCTCTACAGTTCACTTTAGTAGTTAAGTTGCCTAGAACAACCTAGCCTAAATCGTTACTCTAACGCTTTCTCTTATCCTGTATTTAAGTTTATAATGCCCTGCTTTAGGCTGAGAGGAGGATGAAGAGCAGGCTGGGAGTGGCCATCAACAGACACCAGGTAAGAATTCAAAAACATTTACTAAGTGGTTTGACTACACTGGCAGGGGGTGAGAGTGGGCGTAACTGTGGTGGTTATGTTGACTGGAGAGTTCCTTTAAAAAGAGGGACTGTCACCTTCACATTTTCTCCTTCTCTCAGATAAAAAAGCTTTTATAAATCTTTACAGACAAGTGTAACCAGTACCATGGGATTTGACAGCTTTGTATCGACATGAATCCAATTGTATTATTTTTAAATAAAATTGTAAAAGCAGAATAAAAAAACCGCTTACTTATCGAATGAATGGTGAAATAATAGTTGCTATTCCTTTTGGAGAGAGGAGCATTTCTGATAACATATCTTTCGAATAAGATTTACTCAGTTTCTAATGTGGAATATTTTAAACATGTTCACAAGAATTCCTCCAGTACATTTATACATACCGTAAGGCATCAGGACACTGACATTTTCCCTCAAGCATATCACAGACTGCCACTCGAATGGTCTCATGTCGAATGCACTCATTGTAATTCTTGCTGTCTCCTGTGTGTCGTTCCTTGAAAAAGAAATAAAATAAATACAGTCTAGAGCAATGGGAACCATTCTAGAATGGTACATTTTTTATTTCTTATTCCTTTCAGTACAACAAACAGTTATTTACTAAAGTGTGAATTTAAAGTAAATTTCTAAATTAAAGGGCAAAATAACTTAAAGGAACACTATAGTCACCAGAACAACTACAACTCATTGTATTTGTTCTGGTGAACATAATCATTCCCATCAGGATTTGTGTAGTAAACACTGTGATTTCAGAGAAAAGGCAGTGTTTACATTACAGCCTAGGGATATCTCCACTAGCCACTCATCATATGGCTACTAGGGGTGCTTCCAGGGGCAGTGCTGCACCCTCTGCATGGAGACACTAAACTTTCCGTATACAGGTAAAGATTGGCCAGGGTTGTTCCTTGACAGTATTAGCCGATCTAATGCTTTCCTATTGGAAAGCATTGTGATTGGCTTTTATCAACACTTCTGATGATGCCAGCCAAGCAGGCAGATCAGGGGCAGAGCCATCAGCAGCAACAGGCTGGAATAAAAGTAAGATATTACTATATTTAGGGGGGCAAGGGGGCTAGATTGCATTTTTTTACACTATAGGGTCAGGAATACATGTTTGTGTTCCTGATCCTATAGTGTTCCTTTAACTGAAGAAAAAAAATGAAAGAAAGAATAAGCGAGCCATGCTTTCAGTGCAGACACTTTGTCTTTAAATATGAAATTAATTGTTCTCACTTTGTTTCAAATTAAAGCTCAAGGAAAACATTTTTACTTGCAGCAAAGTACAGTCTAGTTTGTGTAATGGTAGGCAGGGGTTCATTGGATTTGTATTTCAACTCAAGAACAATAGATAACCTGTCTCTACACTAGAGTCAACAGGCAAGTATATCATAATTTTCCAATTTGTTACCTGCTCAAATCCAGGCTCATTGTGATAAGGATTTTCTGTCATTAGGGACTGAATAGAGATGAGCACTGAAGACAGACTCTGAGCAGGACTCCAAGCAGGTCCAGTCCAGGTTCTAGTAATTGAATGAAATAAATTATTGATAAAACCAAACATTGATTTCCAAGAGCTAGACACATTTATTTAGGCTTTTTCCAAAAATCTAATGAGCCATGTTTCTCAGGCTAACAAATCTGAGTTTCATTATTAAAAGGACAGTTTAAGTGCCAAAACCACAGCTTATTGTAATGGTTTTGGTGCCTAGATGCTGTCTCAGCACTATGATGAATGTAAGCACTGCTGTTAGTGAGAAACAAATGTTTATATTTGTCAGTGATTGTGCCACTCAAATCACAAAGCTACTAGAGGCACTAACTGTCCAATGCTATAAATACATGAATGTATTTATAACAATAGATTATAGAGTGTTCTTTTAAACTAATGCCAATATTTCACATTACAACATAAATACCCTGAGAAATATTTACGAGGAATGGTAATTTCTCTAATATTTACACCATTGAATTAAACATCAAAAATGCCCTATAACTTGTGTTAACCTTATTTTCCATGAGATGCTCAGTTTTCTTTTAAATTTATCTTCAAGTGACTTTGTATCATTTGGAAAGACACCCCAATCGTGACTTTGCTGCAGGGTTCATGGGAATGTGAATTATACTTACCTGAAGCTCTCCCTTGCGGCTGCTGACATGCTCTTCCTGAAGGTCATCTTCAGTTCCTGACGCTTTTACAAGGCTTAACAAAAGGTAACTTTGTCTTTTTGTCAAGCTTGCCAAGTGTAGAAAAATACTAGGACAAAGGAGTTCCAACTTTGTCTTGGCATATCTGTTGACTGCACTGGAATTTCTGGGAAATTCTAGCAAAGTCAATATATTTCATAAATACTTTTTCTTTCTGAAGTATTCATTTTAGGTGGGAGGAGGGGAATTTACAGTGCAGCTTTACACATCTGGCAAATTACATAATTCAGACAAATAAAAGGCCGGGGAAAACTGCCAAAGAAATAGAAACATTATATAGTTTCCCCTCTTCTCTATATGCTTTCTTGTCTGACAGACAGTGTGAACAGATAGAGAGGTATGGATTTCTACAGTTAATTTTATTTTTCACGGCACATACATATTTGTTAACTATAGGCAAAAACCTGGAAAGTGACAGTTTGCCTTTAACTGTACTATTTAAAAGGACAGAATACTACTAGTAATACTACTAATGTACAGACACTCCTCACTTACCGACCAGGTTCCGTTCTTACGACCGAGTCGTAAAATGAATTGGTCGGTGAGGTGCGCTAGCGAGTATGTGCAAGAGAGCAGGTCTACATTCAGGGGAATTCCCCGAATATAGACCAGCTCTCTAACGTGGGGAATTCCTTGAATCCCCACGCTAGAGAGCTGGTCCTAAGTAGGGATCGACCGATTATCGGTTTTAATCGGCCGATATTTGGTATTTTCGGCAATATCGGTATCGGCCAATATAGATACCGATATTGCTCATAATACATACCAGGACCGCCGGGCCCATTACAAGCCCGGCAGTCCTAGGGGGGGCCAGCAGCAAGCTGTGACTTACCTCCAAGCAGCTCCTCCAGCTCCCCAGTGTAAATCTCGCGGCCTGCGTGCCATGTGGAGCGTTGCCATGGTAACCCATGGCAATGCTCTGTGACCACGGGTCTCACGAGATTTACTCTGGGTAGCTAGAGGAGCTGCTTGGAGGTAAGTCACAGCTTGCTGCTGGCCCCCCCAGGACCGCCGGGCTTGTAATGGGCCTGGCGGTCCTGGTATGTATTATCAGCAATATCGGTATCTATATTGGCCGATACCGATATTGCCGAAAATACCAAATATCGGCCGATTAAAACCGATAATCGGTCGATCCCTACTTAGGACCAGCTCTCTAGCGTGGGGATTCAAGGAATGCTCAGTACATGCCACTGGACCACCAGGGACTGTCATATCCCCCCTCCCTGGCCAGGTAACAAGCAGGGACGGGGGATTAAAAATTAAAATAAAAACATAAATATTAAAACATTTAAATAAAAAATGCCCTCCCTCTCCCCCTATTTTACACAAATCACATACCTTCAGGAAAACACACACTCTGCATTATACACACACACACACACACACACACACACACTACACACTCTGTATATAATGCAGAGTGTGTATATAATGTAATGTAATATATATAATAAAATGCACACACTACACACTGCATTCACTATACACGCGCGCGCGCGCACACACACACACACACACACACACACACACACACACACACAGCACTCACTTTATGCACACTGCATTCACTTTACACACCAGACACTACATTCACTATACACACACTACACAAACACACACTCTGCATTCATTATATACACACACTACACAAACAGTCACTGCATTAACTATACACACTACACAAACACACCCTGCATTCATTATATACACACACATACTACACAAATACACACAGCTCCACTGTCTAAACCATGGGTTGTCAACCTGGTCCCTACCGCCCACAAGTGGGCGTTTCAGGATTTCCTCATTTTGAGAGATTGGGCGGGCGGGCGTGAGCCGACGGTACCCCTGCGATCATGTACCGCCATCACCATTTGCGGCCCGGCCCGCGCGGCAAACCGCCGGGGCCGCTGTCCAAGGGGTCTATTGGCTGTCAGCGCCACCCAATGGATGTGAATTGTAAGGGGGCCCGGTCATCGCTGGGCGCTTTAACAGCGCGACCGGGCCCCCTGTGATTACATCACAGAGCAGGGAAGAAGTGACTGCACGTCACTCCTCCCAGCTATAACTGAGAGCCCGCGCGGGATGAAGCCCTCTGACTCCCATCCATCTGAGCCACCACTGGATCCCAGGGAAAGTCACCCTCCTGCACCTTAAAGATAGGAAACAGGAGTGTGACTTAAATATAATGTGTGTTTGTTTGTGTGTATGTGTCTTTGTATGTATGTGTGTCTTGTCTTTGTATGTATGTCTTATGTGTGTGTATGTGTGTATGTGTGCATGTCTGTGTGCGTCTATATGTGTTTTCCTTGTCTGTATGTATGTGTGTGCCTGTATGTGTGTGTATGTATGTGTGCCTGTCTGCTATAGTGGGCTATAGTAAGTAATAGTAAGTGGGCTACCTAGCTCAGCCTTCCTACTGGGCATTGCTATAAGTAAGGTTTAAAAAAAGTGGGGAGGAGAATTGAGGAGGGAGAGAAGGGGAGCTGACGCACAGATGAGAAATCATATTATGCGCAAACAGAAAAATCGTCTGAATATCACCGAAAGAGGAGACCTTCGTTTGTTCCTTACGAAAATCGAACCAGATATCAAGTATTTAGTCTCGCAGCATCAACCTCAAGGATATCATTAATCACTAGGAAAGGTAATTCCAATTTACTTTATTGTTTTCTCATTAAACTTTATAAACTTAAAAACATTATAAACATTATAAACATGCATTAAGTAAAAATAAAAAGATAAATGTACGTATATTTATTTTATTTTTTTAAAACCCTCCTTTCTAAAAAATATTCTGCACTTGCGCAAAAACTGGTGGGCGGTAAGGAAATGTTTCCATCAAGAAAGATGCATTAGTGGGCGGTAGGTAGAAAAAGGTTGACTACCACTGGTCTAAACACACTGCATCCATTTACCTTTAGAAATATTTTATTTTTTCAAAAGGTAAATGCACAGAATATCGGCAAGTTATCGGCCTGAAAGTTAACAGATTATCGGTTATAAAAAAAATCAATATCGGTCGATCCCTAGTCGTAAGTGCGAGCCTTCATAAAACAGGTAGGTCGTAAATTGAGGACCACCTGTAATGGACTAAAATTTATGTAAAAGATTAGTGAAAATGAAAAACTTAAGTTGCTTATACTTACCCTAGAATACTCAAGCATACTTTGCCATTCCGGTAGAAATTAGGGTTAAATCTCACGGTGTTGTTTCCCGTTGTCATCAGTTTGACTCTAGGTGGGTGGATTGGGTAATCTGGAGGGCACCGAAACAGGAACAAGAAGAAACCTCCTTCATAAGGCGTATCAAATGGGCCTGTGATGAGAGCATGAATCTGCAAAATAAGAGCCTTACTGACTCACTAATGATCAATGATAGTCCCATATGAACTAAACTACCACACTTAAAACGGCTTAACTAGAACTATACAACGTATTACAGAATGGCTAGTGCCATGAAATTTTAGGCCAAATTACCAAAAAACTATTTCCAAGTCAACTATGTTTTTAGTTTAGCAATTATGATGTAAGAAACTGATATTGCTCGCAACAAGTCATACTTCAATGAAAATTTTTAAATAGAACACAACAGATGTACCAAGATCATGGATCATAAAAAAACAAAACAAAAAAAAAAAGAGACAGTACTTTGCTTTTAAGGAACACCTCTGGCATAACTCAGACAGAGAGCTCCTGGGGGGAGGCACCAACACACTCCTGGCACCATGACTATTACAATGTGCTGGAGTGGTTTTAGAGCTTGAACTTCCTTTTAAAAGAAATGGGAAAATTAAAGACTTTGACAACACTCACTATGATTTACAACTTAATATAATAAAACAGAAATATTAACCATCAATTAACTCCATGGTGCTTTTAAAAAAAAAAAAAGTTTAGTTTAGTAGATATACCCAAATGGATACATGCGTGCATTCATTGGTAATCTACCTTAAAAGAGTTAGCAAAATCTACAGTTCTTCTGAACTGCACGCTTTATAAGTGCTTATCTTTTCCTGAAAGAGACTTAGTTTCTTTACGTCAAAATAATCTATCGAATGCTTCTCACCGAGATATCTAAAGCTATCCCTCCATGCGTGCTCACTGCACACCATTCAGAAAGAAGGCTTTTCTGCTCTTATTTCTGTAAGAATGCAAGGGGTGGCGGGTTTTATCGGTGCGGATTGGTTCTTTAAAGCGGCTTTGTCGCTTTCTTGGGTCTTTGCAATATTTAGTAAAAACCCCTAATGGTAAATTGCGATGGCTTTGGGGTGCAGAGAAAGGTATGTTTTACTTACCTCAAGCTGTCCCTTGCGACCGCCACCATCTACTTCAGCGAGATCGTCTTTAGCTTCTGGCGCTTTATCTGCTAGGAGCCCACATTAATGCTGTACTCTCATGCATGCCTAAGAGTACAACACTGATGTCTTTGGAGGGTCCCACGAGAAAAAATGTTCAATGTATATTGGGATCAATTTCAGGTAAGTGAAATATTTTTATTACAGGGTCACTTTAATGCTCAGTGCTAAAGTTATCATTTCCTTGTCTATTTATGTGTTGTATTTACTTGTCTAACTAGGTCTTGTATTGTCTTTAGGACATACAGTCACTATCACTGATATGGAGATTAGAGTTCTGAAAATTCAAATTGTCACGATAGAATATAAGTATTATTAGTTATTTGTGGAATTCAAAAGGACATAAAATTGCTGGCCAAAACAGCCGAACTGAAAACATGGCTGATTTGACTAATTTTTGTAATTCATCTATTTGAACGAATATTTGCATTTCACTTTAAATTATCAACAATACACCTTTTAGCGCATGGCCTGAGCTGTATATATATCTGAATGGTAAAAGCATTCACGACTAAGAATATGAATAACTTTTTTCATCAATGCCATCACACAAGGCCACCCATCCATCTTACATAGTTACAGGTATCTATCATATTTACCTTTGTCATGTCATGAGGATCTGGAACCACAACCATTCCTGGGGGAGGTTCTTTATAAATAGTCATGATATCACTACAGGATGAAAAAGAACACAAGACAATGATTTATTGCTGCAAAGAGAGAATACAAAGTAAAACTAGAACTGTACTGTGAATCAAAGAAAAGAGTATGGTACTCACCACCCTATCTGACATACACAGCATTAATGTCATGAAGGCTATAAAGAACTTTTTATTTGTCCTTATTAATACATTGTAAAAGATTTATAATTTATATTAATTTATTCTGAGTCATGTGTTGTGTAAATTAAACTATAAAAGGTTATGCTGAGGGTCACATACTTCACATTTGTAAAGTGTACGGATTCAAGTAGAAATCTGCACTCTTATAAAGTGGGATACTATAGTCACCAAAACAACTTTAGCTTAATTAATATGTTTTTGTCTATAGATCATGCAGTCTCACTGCTCAATACTGTTTTCCTGCTGGCTGTGTCAATCACAGCCAGGGGAGGTGGTGCCAGGGCTGCATAAACAGAAACAGAGATTTAACTCCTAAATGAAAGTGAACTGAGTAATGAAACTAAAGAGGAACGATGTAAACACAAAAACTGCTACATTAAAGGACCACTATAGTGCCAGGAAAACATACTCGTTTTCCTGGCACTATAGTGCCCTGAGGGTGCCCCCACCCTCAGGGACCCCCTCCCGCCCGGCTCTGGAAGGGGTTAAATCTTACCTTTTTCCAGCGCCGGGCGGGGAGCTCTCCTCCTCTTCTCCTCCCATGCGGCTGAATGCGCATGCGCGGCAAGAGCTGCGCGCGCATTCAGTCGGTCACATAGGAAAGCATTATCAATGCTTTCCTATGGACGCTTGCGTGCTCTCACTGTGATTTTCACAGTGAGAATCACGCAAGCGCCTCTAGCGGCTGTCAATGAGACAGCCACTAGAGGAAATAGGGGAAGGCTTAACCCATTCATAAACATAGCAGTTTGAAAAAATGAGTTAACCCTAGCTGGACCAGGCACCCAGACCACTTCATTAAGCTGAAGTGGTCTGGGTGCCTAGAGTGGTCCTTTAAGCTAAAGTTGTTTTGGGGACTTTAAAAGGTCAATATAGGCAAACTGTAAAAAGTGTCAAGTAATTTTTGCTTCCATTTCGACTACTTTGACTTTAAAATTCACTTTGAATTCTCGACAATTCTCACTTTAATGAATAACCCTTTAAGAGTATGAAAAAAGCATAAGATGCCCATATATCACCCTGCCAATAATATATATATATATATATATATATATATAGCAGGGTGATATATGGGCCTCTTATGCTCGCTCTCTATCTATCTATGCCCATAAAATGTTTGTTTACTGAACCTCGTTCTATAATTTAAAGTTGTGTTTTTGGCACTCCAGTATTCTTGGTCTATGTTGTTAGAGGCCTGTTGGGTACAAGCGAGAGGTAGCCCAGTACTACTGGCGATCCTACACACATTTCTAGAGCCCTTATGTATGAATGCTGGGAGATAAGGCAGGACCCCACCGTTTAATGCGTAGCACACACTGAGTTGACGCCCTCTCGTTGTCCCAATCCGTGCTGGCTGTTGGGTCCCATACCGAGGAAGTGGCCAGGTGCGATGTACCAGGAGTCTGCAGGCCGCTGAGAGGAGACACCAACCCCACACCACCTACGGCTCCCGGTAGTATGATCGCTTCAGCCGCAGGACTCTCCGCCATTCCGTGTCACACTCACTTCCGGCAGCCCGGAGCAGCGAGATGACTGGCAAGAGAGACGCTCGCTGTCATAGAGAGTTCGTCCTGCTCAGGTACTGTCCGCTCACTGCACCAGGAAGCAGTAAGTGAGGGAATTCTGAATGCAAAACGAAAGTGTCATAGAGAGCTTAGAGGCTGGCTAGAGTGGCTGCTCTACCATAGAGATCAGTTACCAGGTTGCATATCCGGTGGTGGAGAGGTGTTCCCTAGCTATCAGTGTCTCGCAGACCTGGCTCGCACAGACGACAAGTAGCCATTTTGTTGGTTTGTAATCTTTGCTTGTGTTTTTTTAATGCAATTATTTGAATGTGTATCGCGTACAGGTTAATTATAGTTTAGCATTTTAGCGTATTGTATTAAACAGCTTGAATAGAGCCACTCATTACACTGAAGGACTCCCACATTCACAGCAGTAATACTAAGACACACTATTGCATTGAAGTTTATTCAATAAACTGTGAACTGTGCTGGATGGAAAGACAAATTGCAAATTTTTTGACAAAAATAAATCACTTGACGTTTGAAAAGACCAGCAATTTTTGCACTTTGGCTTTTTTTGGCCTATGTCTGCAGACTGAGTTTCAGTGGGTTGCAAGGCAATGTTTAGACATAACAAATACAATAGTCTTCATTTATTTTTTGCTAAAGTATGTAGCTTCAGCAGTTTTAAACGACATTTTCCTTGATGCTTAGTGAACTTCATAGATGGGTGTCCAGGAAACACTGTCCAGATAAACGTAATAGCTTATATAGGTAGCATAAAAAATGTCATGGCCCACATTGTTTGTGCTGAAGGATTAAACTTTATTCAATAGAATCTAAATTGCATACATTTGAGGCCAAAATAGCAGCACTGAAAACATAACTAACCATGATCATTTATTGAACATTAATGATCCAGTCTGGAAGGTATGGGATCAGGAGTCGGGACAGGCTGTTTGTAGAGTTGTTAAAATGCATCTTTAATGGGTCATTATCGTAGAATAAATGTTGTTTGTACATCAAATTAATAATTTTATATAAATTTGCCGGCCACCCATATGTAAAGAAATACTATTGTACATGTTTGTATTCCCAATGCTGTAGTGTTCCTTTAAATTTACTTTTGTTCCAGCATCAGGCTAGTCTCCTAACTGCAGCCAGATTCTCCTTCAGTTAGATCATAACACTTGATTTTCTTTGTCCAATCAGATTGTAGAGAAGCAATAAAGACACATTCAACACTCTCTTTGCTTCACTAATTCATTGCTTTTCTATGAGAAACTTTGACTGCTTTAAAGGGTTACTCCAAACACCATGACCACTTCAGTAATTTGAATGGTGCATGGAGTCTGTATATATACCTCCCAACTTCGACCATCAATGAATCGGGAGGGGATAATGGGACCAGGCCAGTGGCACAATTGCATCACTGGCTCTGACCAAAAGGGGCAGACTTGCTACTGGCAGGTCATTCTGATGTGAATACTTTCCAGATGTGCTCTGCACTGAAACAGTGCTTCCTGCAGGGTCTGCCCTGAATTGCCCTTCAGTGCTACCAGCAGAGTCTTAGTGCCCTGAACATAGAGTGAGCACTATAATGCTGCGCAAGAGTTCCCTGGTGTCCCTAAAAGCCCAACAGTGGGGCAGGACATGAAAATTGTGACTTTCATGCCAAAATCAGGACTGCTGTGAGACATGTGTATGTGCGTTGTTTCACTATGAAATGCTGCACATACAGATTTGAATTCCTTTGCTGACAGAGGTGTAGCTCCACCTCCAAGGGCATCATTATTACACCTGGCACAAGAGTTACGGGCTAATGTCAATCCTGTGCATATTTTTATGCACATAATGCTATTGATTGGCTAACGCTTTCATCCGATGAATGGTGGAGGGAATGGTTTCTGAAATTCTGGAAAAGCCAGCTGCATGTCACCAGACATAGAAGGAGACTTGGTGCCTGACTGGGACCAGTTAAGAAGGCAAACATTGTAAAAGAGTTTACCCCTTTATTGGGAAACAGAGCAAGTATACTCCTCACATCATAAACACTATAGTGGACTGTAGTAGTTTTGATGCATGGAGTAATCCTTTAACAAGCTTTTATTTCAGCAAGGTCTTAAATGAGAACTATGTTGGGAGATCCAAATGAGTGTAGACAATTAAAATACAAGTCAAAACTTTAATAAACAATTGCATGCATAAAGAAACACTGAAAAGCCTTGTTAGCCCCACCTGATCCACAGGAAAAATGATTATATATCTTCTTTTTTTGTGTGTGAAATGTTTATTGAAATTGAGGTTGTCACAGACAAATACTTTAGCAGTCAAACGTAGTACAAAGAAAGGCATTGCGCAACATTGTTCAATCCAATCATTAGTGCAGGTATCATTAGCTTTAAAAGGACACTATAGTCACAGATCTACTACAGCTTAATGTAGTGGTTCTGGTGTCTATAGCATGTCCTAGCAGGTTTTTTAATGTAAATGCTGCATTTTCAGAGAAGGGGGGGGAATTCAGAAGAAAGGAGTTTCAGGGTCTTGAGGAGGTAGATCACAGCTCTAACCCTCCAAAGTAGGATAATAGGCATGTCAAGGACTGTATAAGAGTTCCTGAAAGTCGGTTGTCGCCATTATGACGAACCATTGTACCCATATCCCAGTATAGGTCTGATTGCGGTGAGAAGAGCCAAATATTAGCTCCTCTATCCTGGTAAACCAGAGATGCAATGAGGGCATAGCTAATTGTCAATATTATATATGTTCTAGTCAAACTTGTTTTACCATTGTTGGGTGGGAGGGGTATATTTATCACTTGAGACATACTATTCCAATCACTTATTTAGGCACTTGAGTTTCATCAGCATATCCCCACCTCCATGTTAATATATGGGTCATCGAACTTTTCTTTGGCTCAAGCTCAAGGTGTTTCTGGAACCTAACAAGGCCCCTGGTACCATGTTTGACCTTGATTACCTTTTATGATGATCTCTTACATTGGTTTTGGGATGTGTATTTTGTGAGATAATGTATATCTTGTTTATGTTTGCAATATAATTCAGTTTTTTTATGTTTGTTTTTTATTTGCATAAAATGCATTTGGTTTTAACTAACAAATGTGAGAATTAGTATTTTTTTTTAAAATATTGTCACACTTCTCATGTTATGTTTCCTGACATATATTATTTTTACAGAGTAATAAAACACTGATTCATATGCTATTATTTTCTGTTTAAAAAAAAAAAAAATAATAATCATTTAGATACATATTCCCCTGAGGACGAAAACACATAAATGACTTGTGCTGCGTGTGGTTGCAACAGTCGTTATTTAAAAGAAAGCGGCAAACAATTTTTCAGGTATATTTCTGATTGTTTATCTAATGCATTTTACTAAAAAGGTAAAAATAAATTAAATATTGAATATTCTAGCATAATTAGACTTTTGTTATCAATTATGTTTTATAATACTTTTATGAAATGTATATATAATTCTTTAACACTTTTCTGAGTAAAATTGTCTGTTTTGATTGTGACAATTTCCTTTACTGAGGGCATCTCCAAATCTCGTAAGACGCATTTAAACTTTGTTTCTGAAAAGCCTTGCATGGGTATCTAGTGTATCAATAGTTCATCTTGTGATAATCTGACATTGTTTAAATTCCATGGTCAGTTTGTTTTTAGTGACATAATTTTAGTGCTCAGTATGGTAAACCTGTAGAGAGCTAAAGAATGTACTATACTTAAAGCGGCACTGTCATGTCGAACTGACCTTTCTTTTATTGTTTTCTCTTCCTCTCTTAGAATCTGTTCTTCTTTTCCTTATTTCAAAGGTAATGTAGGGATTATTTTGTTTTATGTATTTTTTTGTATACTTGATCCTATTAGACTAAAGGAAGAGCTTAAGTCCGCTCCATTTCCTGTGTCAAGTACTTTGACACAGGAAATGGAGCTGACATACTTTTTCTGACACAGGAACCTTGTCTGATACAGGAAATGGAGATGACCTTGGGTCAGAGAAAGTCAGGCTTAGGAAAAATACTTAAGACAAAGTAGTCCCTACTTTATCTTCTGTTTTAAAGAAAAGTAGATCAGAAAAGAAGAATTCTGTTCAGATTCTGAGAGAGGAAGAGAAGTGGACACAATAAGAGAAAGGTAAGTTCGGCAGGACAGTACCACTTTAATACTCCCAAAAGAGGGGAAGGACCCATGTCATTGCTCCAGTTAAATGCCCATCTCATTGCTGAATATGGACCTCACTTTACCAAGGCCCTTTCCATGCGCATGCAGATGGTTGTTCCAGATCTGGTCCACCCAGATCAATCAAAAACCCCTCATTTGGGTATACTGGACTTTCCTCATGGTGGCAGTAACTCACATGGGTTTTGGTAAGGCAGGACTTGACAAATCCCAAGTCGAACTGGCGACTAGGAATATTGTCCTGGAGCCTGGGTGTTTGTCAGCCTGAGGGAGCGTGAAGGTGGCTGGCTGGGGTCACGAGGAGCCGGGCTGCGAGGTAGCAGAAATCTTACTTCGCTTCTTGCTCTGCTCCCTCGCGCAGCCTGCTGTGATGCCATTAGCCCGAATATGAACTCACTCAGGCCCCGGAATCAATAAACAGTGTGGAGGGAGCAGAGCAAAAAGAGCATGAAGATTATACAAGCCCCACTGGACCCCAGGGAAAGAATCCACTCCAGCTCTCCCAAAGGTAAGGAGGCTGGGTGGACATAAATAAAAATGTGTGTCTGTCAGTATCTGTGTGCGTCTGTCTGAGAGTGTGTGTATGTGAGTCTTTAATATTGATTGGACCCTGGGCAAGAATTTACCTGGGTCCCTTGGGTCCCACCTTCCTACACCCTAGCATGCAATCACACCCTCCACCACAACACACACAAAAATGTGCAGTGCATGAGTATGTAACAGCCAACTCACTGCTTTCCCATATGAAAGCATTGGGAGGCTATTACGCATGTGGCAAAACACTGCGCTGCACCCATCAGCATCTCCTCATAGAGATGCGTTGAATCAATGCATTTCCATGCGGAGTGTTCAGCGTGAATGCCAGTGCTGCCCGTTGTGCAACACTCGACTAGGAAGCACCTCTAGTGGCCGTTTGATGAGTGGCCACTAGAGATATTCCTAGGCAGTAATGTAAATACTGCCTTTTTTCTGAAACGGCGGTGCTTACATTAAAAAGCTTGCAAAGCATTCCGATCGCTGCTACATCCTGTTTACCTAGACATTGGAAGTCTCAAAATGTGCCATCTCTAAGAGAAGTTTTTAATTTGATTTTAGAAAATAAGGCACATGAATTATCACACAGAGCTAATATGCATGGTTTCCCAATACTAAAATATAACTGGGATAAATGGGAAGAAAAAATCAAAACAGTTTATGGTCTTTGATATATTTATTGTTAAAGTGCATTGTTGTAAAACATTTTTCTTTTTGCCATATACTTTAATATGTTTATTTAATTGATGGATGGATACCCCTTCCCATTTCCAAGTTACCCCTCCTTTCCTACCCCTAATACATTGTTTGTATTATTATCATTTGTTATACAAAAAAACTTTAATAAAAATTATTTGAAAAAAAGCTTGCAAAGACATGCTATAGACACCAGAACTACTATGTTTAGCTGTTGTGGTTCTGGTGACTGTAGTGTCCCTTGAATATAGAGAAAAAAAAAGAATCAGCACAAATGAATGAAATAAAATGTCTGTATCATTATTCTAAAAATTATTTTTAAAAAATAATAATAATAAAATATGCACATTCCTAGCTTGATTTTGGGCACAACGTCTGACACAAACATTTTGTACTTTGTATATGTATAAAAAAATATATAAAAAGTAATATGTAAAATACAAAATATTTGTGTCAGAAGTTGTGCTTTTTTAATTTGTAGATTAATGATACAGCCATTTTATTTCATACATTTGTGCTTATTTCGGTGCTGCTTGGAGGGGGGTTCGGGGCAGTATTACACAATCTTTTTATATTTTTTTATTTATTCATATTCAGATTGTCTAATACTGCCCCTCACCCCCCTCCAACCAGCACCAATATTCGCACAAGTATATGAAATAAAATGGCTGTATCATTATTCTAAAAATTAAAAATAGCACAATTTCTGACACAAATACTTTGTATTTTACAGATATTTTTTTTATTTTTTCAAACAATGTGTAGATAGATTGTACAGTACCAACCCCACTCCCTCTTCTCCAACCACCCCTCCCTAATCCTCCCCCCTCGAATCTACCAGCCCCTTTACCCCCATAAAACAACCAAGTAATTTATCTTCAGTGATTTACTGTAATTTAAATACTTACAGTTCTGAAGACAGCAGGCTCAGGGGTCAGTGCTCTGGGGCCTGGGCTCAGGGTTCACGGTGTTCGGCGCCGCTCTGCAGTTGGGGGAGACCGGGCTCGCTGTAGTGTTGCCGCGCCTCCGCGTGATGTCAGGGCAACGCGCGTAAACAAAAGACAGGGCAGGTCGGGAGGAAGAGCAAGTAAGTCTTTCAACTCCTTCACTATGCAGCGATGCCGCTCACATAGTGAAGGACTCAGGAGGCAAAAAAAATGTAGCATATTATTGTGGGCAGCTGCCTTGAGCACCCCAGGAACAACTGGGCCCGGAGCAGCTGCCCCTCTTGATCCGCGTTAAAGACTGGCCTGGTCCTCACTGAGTGTGAGTGAGGAGAGGAAGCAGTAGGAAGGGGGCGGAGCTAAATATTGATTTGCGAGGATCTCCCAGATCTGCAACTATGTATCTCTCCCCACTCATGCCTGGAGCATGGGGAGAGGTACCTGCAGATCTGGGAGAGCCATTCAGAGTTCCATCAGCCAGAAATACTGGCCACTGCATTGCCGGTATTCCTGCAATACCGGCACCGGCCACACAGCCCCAAATACCAGCTGTGCCGGTAAAATACCAGTCAGATGGCAACCCTAGATATAGTACTAAGTAACCAGGAAGCATATATAATATGTACTTATTATGTTCTCCAAGGTACAACAACTGCCGGCAACACTTTAAATGTATTTGATAATATTAAATGAAAACTGCAACAACATATGGACCAAACACCCTTAAAATACTTTGCAGAACATGGGCTATATACACCCAAGTGTATTGCCCATGTTGTGCCAATTGGATTGACCTCCAGGAGAAGATTAGATCCATGGTGTGTGTCCTGTATTTCTTTATGAAATGCAAGTGCACACATTGATTGTATTAGACCAAAAATAACTACAGAAAATACTTATTATTATTATTATTATTATTATTATTATTATATAATTAGTCTATTTTTCAGCTGTCATCTTTATACATTAAGCATTTTTTTTTTACTTACTGCATATATACTTAGCTTTATATATATATATATTTTTAAGATTCTGTGAAAAGGTTTATCTATAGCATCCAGTACAAACACTAAAACAATAATGTATTATTATCATCATATGTATTAGCAGCTGATAGGATTTGTCAATCCAGTTAATTTTACTAAAGGACGACTACAGTAGCCATGCCAAACCGCAAGGGAATCCAGGTTTGAAATGTTTTGCTCCCGAGACATCTGTACAAACACTAAAACAATAATGTATTATTATCATCATATGTATTAGCAGCTGATAGGATTTGTCAATCCAGTTAATTTTACTAAAGGACGACTACAGTAGCCATGCCAAACCGCAAGGGAATCCAGGTTTGAAATGTTTTGCTCCCGAGACATCTGTTTCCTCCACTGCCCACCCCGAGGAAGAGAGTCCACATTTTGCTTTTCCTAGTGGAAGTGTGCAAAATCATCTGTATGAGTAGTGTCACTGATCTCCCTTCACCTTCTCGCTCAGGTGGAGCCGTGGCAGATTTTCTCAGTGATAATGCCGTACTCCAATGACTAAAGATTGACAAGGGAGCAGAGGAAGTTAGAGGCACCCGTTTCAATGCAACCTTTAACTAGTTTTAGGGTGGGTGCAGTGTTATTGGCTCTATTGAGACTTAGGATCTAAATGTCATTCAGAAACTCCTCCCCAATCTGTATTATTTTAAGGCAGGTAACAAGATGTATTATCCCACCAGATGTGCATTTTCTCGTGATAATAGATATAACTTTCTTTCCTATCACTTGTGAAATATATTTTTATGATCCTGTCAAGGTTTATTTTGTTTTGTTAATATTTCAGATAAGCAGCTGAGAAATCCAGATGTGGTAGATTGTCTTTTCTGTCAAGTATGCATGATGGAAATTCTGCAGAAATATCTTTTCGTTTTTGTTTTTTATTTTATATGAGAGATCGCATGCCAACGCAATGGGCAAAGCAGCAATCCTTTTTACCAAAAATAAGTTTCTTGCTGATTTTTTTTTTTCCCTTCTTTAAAAAAAAAAAAAAGTGAATTTCCAGACTCTAAGAATAATTGACTACATTAAATGTTTGCGGAGTTTGTTCCTTCTTCAAGATGCAGAGTTAAATTATTAAACTAGGTAACTCAATAAAAGTGTAATCCAATGTAATTATAATCTTTTTTTTGTCTTTGTCAGCTTTCCTATCAAAGATCGTGATCGTTTTGAAAAATGGATTGCTTCATTTCAACATAGAAACTGGAAACCATCTGATACCCTCTGTAGTGATCATTTTACGGAAAATGACTTCACTTTGCTCCCAGGAACATTGGTTCCTTGCCTCCGAACAGACGCGGTGCCTTCTGTCTTCAGTGTATTGCCAGATAATGATAAAAAGCTTATATTAAAAAGAAGAAATCCAAAGAAGATCCAAAAATCACAAGAAAAAAGCTGCAATGCAATAAACTCTGACGACAAGCTTCCGAACTCCGAAGCGAGCAGTCCCGGTGACCATGTTGATCACAACTACTCAGTTGCATGCAGTGAAACTGAAAATGACATTCCCTTTTCAAGTCTAAACCCTGGTATCATGAAACTGAAGCGGAAAATAAGACGTTTAACACGCCGCGCACAGAGACAGAAATATAAAATACAAACCATGAAGGAACAAGTGAAGAAATTAAAACGAAATAATCTGATGAGTAAACAAACATGGAATTCGGTGCTAATAGTTGAGGATTTTTAGCAATGCTTAAAAAGCTAACAGGTTTGTGACAATAATGTCTTTATTTTTTTTACCACTACAATGTTACAAAATGCAGGTTTCTCTCCTCCCCCCCACCAAATCTTTCCAATACAAAAACGTAACTTTTAAAAATAAGGTTTAAAAACAATTGTTAAATAAAATAAGAACAGCATAAAGGGACATATGTAATAATAGTTCATGTGTAGTGTTTTTCTCCGCCTGGCAGCACCACCCACGTTTTTCAGAACTCTTTGTCGAGATTGAGTTCGCTTTGCTCCATTCTGTCAATAAACCAAAAATGTTATAAGGCAGCTAACGGCAGAGTCTTTTATTTCTTTTAATTGTTCTACCCTGGATAATTCCAAAATAATACATTATGTAAGTAAGGTTAAAGTTTATACTGCGTGTTTTTTTTCCCTTCTATTATACTTTTCTGTTTTATCAGTAAATCATGGCAATATCAAATAGTCGTACTCAGACTTCAGAGAGTTATATTTTATTTATTTTTTTAATTTCAATTTAAATTTATTCATGCCTTTATTTGCTCCATATTTATTTGGCACAGTGACACTGGCAAAGTTCGTTCGAGTGAGAATTAACGTGAATTCACAGTGAATATCAAATTTTAAGGTCAAAATTGTTTAACTGAAAGGTAGCAATTCTTTCATGTAGCTACTCAAGCTTTAAATTTGAAATTCAATTGAGATTCAGTTTTAGGAAAATAGGCACACAGACATGCATTCTGTACCGATTCTCCATATAAAATCTGCGGTTACATATCACCCATTATCCACAAAGAACATCTAATTTATTATAGAATTTACAAATAACAATGCTTGTGTGGGGTAAATTCCTGGACTAAATAATGCTGTGATCACCAATCCTCGCCTCTTAGGAAAAAGTGTATGTCTTATCCATATTGTGCAAAAGAGCAAAGAACCAATAAAGGCATGGAAGCCCACATGATAGTTCAGGGTGCATGTTTTAGCTTTAGGCCTGCAGCCTGTGAATTCTTCCAATAAATCTGCTTGAACCTTGTGTGCCTGGACGATTTTTTGTCAATTGGCTATATGACAGGTCTGGCCTCCATCCGGTCCAGCTTAGTATCCTTGTTCTGAAGGTAGTGCAGTGTTCCCATCTTTCATCTCAATGTACTTCCCCTTTAATCTGCATTTGTAGCAATGGTGGTTAGGTTGCTTAGTAGGCAGAAAGTTAGATGAAGCACATTAATGAAGTGGTGAGGTTACAACTTGAGCTAATAGCCAGCGCAGCTCCAGAATAATGTTTATACATTTTTGTTTTGTTTTTAGGCACTGCCTGCAATCAGATTCTGTTGCATAATGGCAACTTACAATTCTCTATTACAAAGCTGTAGAGAAGGTGTAGCATCTATCATCGAAAGCTACCACCACCAATTCTCTGTATTCACTTTGGTTAACTTTCAGGATGGGATTTCTATGGGACATGGCGTCAGTAACTCACACGGCCCGTGAGCCACTTCCCATAAGGCTACACTTTGAGTTGCAACATCGCCCGCTGTAAAGATTTCTATTGGGTGTTACAAGATAATAATAGGAACACTTTAGGGTCAGGAATACAAACATCTACTCCTGACCCTATAGTGTTAAAATCAATATTTAGGTGTTCGGTCCCCCCCTTAAATAAGATTAAATATTACTTTTATTCCATCTCCACGCGGTTCCACCAGGGCTGGCCAATCAGCATATCCTCGTAGAGATGCAATGAATCAATGCACCTGTATGAGGAATGTTCAGCGTCTCCATGCAGAGTGTGGAGACACTGAACATTAATGCTGCATGTTGTGCAGCACTGACCCAGGAAGCACCTCTAGTGGTCATCTGAGTGACTGTCACTGGAGGTATCCTTAGGGAGCAATGTAAACACTGCCTTTTCTATGAAAAGGCAATGTTTACATGAAAATGCCTGCAGGGACTGGCTATACACCCCAAACAACTACATTAAGCAGTAGTTGTTCTGGTCACTATAGTGTATATCGTAATCCAGTTCAGACAAGGCAAGGCCAGGGCAAATATTGCAAATGAGAAAGAGAAACATGAATTTTTGCTTTTCCTCTTTTGTGTATGTTTTCTCAGTGCTAACTGTCAGGTACAAAGTACAGAGCTTACAACAATGAATGACAGGGACCTAAGATAAAAATGTTTGTAATTCTTCATTTAGCCAGAGAGAGTGTGTGTGTCAGTGTCAGGAAGTCACAGGCCCCTATTAAAATTATATTACATAATATATTGTAAAATATATTATATTATCATCGCATGAGAAAAAAAGTTATAGGGTTTTTCTTTCAGTGTTTTTAATCAACAGCCTAATTTCCAGAGTAGTTGCAGTTCCTCTTTTAATATGATTGTCACTACAATACAATTTTTGAGTCTTTCATGAAGATATCTTTACGAAATACTAATTAAATGCTTTGAAATTTCAATGAATAGGACCTACTTTGTCTTATGTACAAGTTTGATGTTGAATAAAATTGACAAAGTTGAGATTCTGCTGTCAAGTTTGGTCAGTTCCATTAGATGACTATGAGAAATGGGCAACTTCTCACTTTATTGTTAGAGTTTGTCTATGGAGAATCTTGCGTAGAACGCTGTGCTCTTAGAGCCTTGAGGTTCCGGTAAATTTGCCTTTAACCCCACCCCCACTGTGCCCTTCCTGCTTACTGCACACAAATTAAGGATCTCATCTTTGGGGTATTTACAAAAAATGGAAAGGTGAAAACACAATTTTAAGATTATTTTGTTAGATGGCATATTATATATAAAGCTCTATGACCCTTTAATTTGTTGCAGTTGACTGAATTAGAATGATGGCGATTTTGTATGGTTTTGCTAATTCAGATGCCACTTTGCTAGTCATTGTTAAATACATTTGAGGACTGTGCAAAAATTATTTCCAGGCAGTTCTTTAGTATGAACTTGCTTTCCTGGGTTCATGTGCCTCACCCATCTCCTTCCCAAGCTCGCGCATTAAGTTTTTTTTGTTTTTTACTTTGCAGCATACCGTCTGGTACTTCAATGTAGGGAGTAAAATGCTGAGTTCTAGAGCTGGCAGAGGTGCTGAAATTTTAGGATTAGATCAGCAACAAAGATTTTTCAGCAAAGCATTCTTAAAATCTGTTGCCAATTACTTGTGTGTTCTATCAGATCTCCTGCTTCATTCTGTCACTATGAGAAATTAAAAAAAAAGTGGCACAACTTAAACAGGGAAATCCTTCTTCTGCATCACTGTCTGATACAATTCACAAAAGTAATTGATTTAGAGTACTCCATTAGCCTGTTTCACTGGAACATTTATTATTTATTTATAAAATATTTTACAAGGAAAGATACATTGAGATTTCTCTCATTTTCAAGTATGTCCTGGGTCCACAAAACATTGCATTGATACAATAGGGTACAATAAAATACAAAAACAATATTAATACACAATATATACAAAATTTAACATAGAACAGGTAGGAAATATATAATCAACCATGTGCATTCTGTTTTGAGGTGTGTAGAGAGGGATCTCTTAAAGGACTTTAGGCTTGGGGAAGATTTGAAAGTGTGGAGGTCGTTCCATAATTGCGGTGCTCTGTAGGAAAAGGAGGATCGGGCTGCTATCTTTTTGTATTTAGGTAGACTAAATAAAGTGCTGGTACTGGATCGGCGGTTATAGGAGATGGGAACAGCCGGGGGGCGCATTCTGCTCAGGTAGGGTGGGAGCTTTCCAGAAAAGCTCTTAAACACAAGGCTGGAAATATGAAGGGTGTGTCTGAATTCCAGCAAAAGCCAGCTTTGTTATTTTAGCATGTCACCATGGCGGGTCCTATAATTACATTGTAGCACAAATCGGCAGAATGAGTTATACAATGTACTGAGTTTATTAAGGTGGGTTTGCAGTGCAAGTGCATATACTACATCCCCATAATGATTGGCATCAGCATTTGCCGTGCAATCTTTTCCTTTACTGTAGAGCTTAGGCAGGATTTGTTTCTGTACAGGGCACCTAGTTTTGGATAAAGTTTAGATGCAAGGTTTTTCCTCCCGTATAGTGGCAGTACTTACAATTGGGATGTGCCTTCGATAGTGGACAAGAAGATCCCCCTTCTTTTTGAAGATAGCTGCTGACCGGGGAGGTGAGTGCCCGATAGCTCCCCAGACGGGAGCTGAGTAGCAAACTTACTTCAGGACTTGCGTTACGGAAGGCGACCGGAAATTCTCTTTTGTGGCATTCTGGGAAGTCCCGGGCAGACCTCCCACCAACCATTCGTCACGCATGCGCACAGCAGTGGAACGCACGCCACTGACACCGGATCGCACTACTGTGCATGCACAAAACTATAGTTGGTTTTTTTGGCTTTAAAGCTGTGCAGAACCTGTCTGACCCCAAGGGTGGGTGTCAAGTCCAGATTCTCCATGTCACCAGCCCTCCTACACGGTTGTGAGGTGTTTGAGGTGAGATTTAAATTATTTAAACTCCCTTTGTCACCTGTCACCGTTGCATGCTTCTCAAAGAAATGTTTTTGGGTTTTTTTCTTCTCCTTTTTTCTGTTTCTACAGATATGTCCAGGAAAATATCCTGTCAGTCACTCACATCCTACAGAAGGGAGAATTCATGGCAAAATTAGACCTGAAAATTGCCTACCTCTGTGTACCGATATCAGTCTTCCTGGAAGTTCCTAAGATTTGCAGTTTTGACAGGAAGACGAATGATTCTACACTTTCAGTTCAAGGCTACCCTTTGGCCCTTCTGGACAAACAGAAGTTGGTTTTCCCCAATTTCTACCAACGTCATAGCACATGTGATTCTTCCAATAGAGACCCTGGAAATGTTCCACCTGACGGCATGCCTGCTGCAAGGTTGATTCTCCGAGAACAAGGTCTTTCAGACAGTTTGTGTAACATTCTTCTGTCTTCGGTCCATTTATCAACTGCAAAAATTTATTTCAGGATTTGGATGAAGTTCAGGAACTGGTGTTCTCTTCATGGTTCGGATCCTGCTGAAGCGTCTATCCTGGATATTCTATCTTTTTTTGCAGGATGGTTTTGAAGCCGGTCTAGGGGTCTCTACACTCAAGGGCCAGATTTCAGCATTAAGTAACTTCCTTGAGGTTCTTTCCTCAGCTACTGAATTTAATATTTTTCATCAAGACAAAGTGGTCCTTCATCCCAGGCCTTCTTTTTTGCCCAAAGTTATTTCAAGAAAATCTATGAAACAATCTATTGTTCTGCCTTCCTTCTGCCAATCTCCTGCGTCAGATCTTGAAAGAAGGTGGCATCTCCTTGATGTTAGAAGAGCATTGGAAATTTATCTTCAAAGAACACAAGGCTTTAGGACCTCGGATCATCTCTTTATCTCCTTTCAGGGCTCTAGCAAAGGTAGTTCTGCCTCCATTCCTTCTTTATCCAGATGGCTAACAGATACCATTAAATTGGCTTATCAATCCAGAGGGCTCCGATTGGATTACCATTGAAGGCCCACTCCACTAGGGCTATGGCAACTTCCTGGTCAGAAAGAGCAGCTGCCTCACCTGAAGACATCTGCAGAGCAGCTACTTGTCCTACGTTGCATACCTTTATTAAGCATTATAGGCTGGACATATTCTCATCCTCTGAAGCTGCTTTTGGGCTTAAGGTGCTACAGGCAGTAGCCTTCTTAGTTCCCACCCTTTGTTTGTTTTGCAGGGATCTTGCTATATCCCAATTGTAAGTACTGCCACTATACGAGAGGAAAAATGCATTTTTTCTTTGTATAGTGGCAGTACTGCCTTTCCCTCCTCTTTTGTATGAAATAAATAACTTTTGCAGTAATCCGTCTCCGTTTGGTTATTTTGTATTACTGGAGTCTTCCTCTAAGGTAGAGGAGTTATAGGAGCAGCAGGCGGGGCACGCAGTTATCTTCAAAAAGAAGGGGGAGCTTCTTGTCCACTATTGAAGGCACATCCCAATTGTAAGTACTGCCACTATACTAAGAAAAAAGGAATTTACGGTAAATAAAATTACTGTTTCCTTCTAGTCACAGTGTATTGTAAGGGACACAAATTTATTTATTTTTTTTATTTGTATTTTTATTGTGGCATTCACATATGCAAACACACAGGTAAAAAGCATTATTGGCCACATTTTAAGTGAATGTAATGAAACAAATATAGACATATACAGCTTAAGGACATTGCGGAACATAGACATAGTCTATAAAAATTTTGGCTATTTCTGTATGCACTGTTATAAGGTATGCTAAGTAGACACTTTCAACTAAGGTTGCTTCATGAGGGGGCATAGGAACCCGAGAGAGTCTAATAGGTAACATCTCCTATCTGTATATAACCTACTCGTTTTCCTGGCACTATAGTGCCCTGAGGGTGCCCCCACCCTCAGGGTCCCACTCCCGCCCGGCGCTGGAAGGGGAAAAGGGGTAAAAACTTACCTTTTTCCAGCGCTGGGCGGAGAGCTCTTCTCCTCCGTGCCTCCTCCTGGGCTGAATGCGCACTCGCGGCAAGAGCTGCGCGCGCATTCAGCCGGTCACATAGGAAAGCATTTACAATTAAGCTGAAGTGGTCTGGGTGCCTAGAGTGGTCCTTTAAGCAGATATCAGTATGTAGAAAGCAGTTTTATAACATAAACTAGTAACAACAGTTGAGAAAAGAGCAGTTTGCAAAGTTATCAAAGACATAGATTAGGCAGATGCACACCGCCATTTCCAGCAGATCTCAGGTGACGGTCGGTATCTGTGCCTCAGCTTCTCACTGTGATTTGGGGTAGAATGGTTGGAACCCCCTTAACATCCCAAGAAGTAGCAGTATGTGCCCGTGAGATGGTTAGTGTCGGCACCAGGATGGTGTTTGGTATTGGTAAGTCCAGTTCCCTAAAGATACCCTCTGCCTCTGCAACCTTAGTGAGTTGCATAGTTTTCTCTGCATGGGTCACTGTTGGCTTGCGACCTGGTCCCAAGCAGTACTTGATGTCTCTGTCCCACAGCTGCTTTTTTTTTTAGGGATTTTCTCCAGAGCATCATGGATCTAGAAAGGTCGTTATAGAATGAGAGGTCTGAGCTAGGGATGCATCGACATTTTCAGCCCAAATAGGGTCAAATTGCAGAAATTGACTGAATCTCTAGTTCTAGAACATGTCACGCTGTGGCTCCCCTTGACTGTCACGTGACACAGGGTCTCTCACTCGAATAGAGAAAGAGAAAAAACTTGCACCACATACAGGAATGCACGGATGGCAAGTCTTGCAATGTTTCCCTCTGTTCGCTGTGCACTCTTCAAAGAGAGCTGAAAGAGTGTGAGGAGCTTTTGCCTCATCACGTGCCTCGAGCGCGCCTGATCCAGAGCTGCTTTGGCACGAGCCAGCAGAGTTGAAGGCTGTGCAGAGAGTCCGGTCAGGAGAATCCAGTGTCTGTGGTACCAGCCAGCACCATGCCAGTGAAACAGCTCGGTAGCGGTGAGCGGAACAGGAATCTCTCCAGCTGCTGTGGACTCCACTTCCCATGGTGCTCAGTCACAGATCACTTCTTTGGTTGGTTGAGCGTGATGGGTAGCGCAGTCCTATAGAGATTTGCTAGCAATGGCAGTCCTCTACGGCAGCCAGCTCCCCAATCAGACTTCCCAGGGGGCCCCATGTTATCCCATGGCTGCAAGGAGAGAGTGTGTGACTAGTTCTGGGCTAGAAGGCATTTTACTCCATTGTCTAATATTGTGTGTTTAATGCAGGAATGGCCCTTCTCTGACAACCATATTCATTAAGGGAGAACATATGCTATTCACCATGGTAACAGACTGGGGGTTCTGTAAAAATATATATATATATATATATATATATATATATATATTCTGAGGCAATCTTCTAAAGATGAAAAATCAGCATCAGGGACATTTTCATTTTTTTTATTCTTTATTTTGCAGAAAAATCGATTGGACGTTCATTGGTAGATATACAAAGTACATTAAACGGTTGGTGAAACATATGTGTGATCCATTACATAAATACTGATACATTTGCTGGTTCTCAAGTGACAATTAACTATGTAACTGTTAACAAATTCATCTTTAGGTTTTATCTGGTGAGTATTGGACACACGATGAAGTACATATTGCCAGTAGGCTCCAATCGTCAGAGACATTAATTTAAATTACATAGTGACAACGGCTCCATTTACTAAACTCTGCCCTGGAATTGCTTTTCCACAACTCCAAGTGTCCATAGAACATTCGGACTTAGAATATTAGTAACATTGTGTGAAGTTCTATGTCAGAATGTTCAACATGTCTGCCTGTTGAATTCACCTGTAGAGACAGAGCATGTGCCATGCATATTGAATGAGAAACGCATTTTGTTTAATGACTTGTGGGAGGGCAGTATTAACACATGCCTGTTGCATTATCTAATTGATTTTCCTGCAATGTTCATAAAGCGTCTGCCTATTGAGGGAGTTTTGTATTTAATTGTAGTGTGACATTACATAAGGTCTGACGAAGCTCTTATTGCAATCAAATGGGTCTTACTTTATACCTTTTTATGCTAAACGCATACGTTTTTTATTACTGTGTGTTATCTTTTTATTTTGTTTATAGAAAAAACTTTTAAAATCATTTGGGGGAAAAAGTAATTTTTGTTTTCGGCCAGGGGTATCCTGAATTTTCGGTTTCGGCCCAGAATTTTAATTTCGCTGCATCCCTAGTTTGAGCCCTCAAAATGGTAGGTGGGTGCATCTTTCATTGAGGTCTGTATAAGCCCAGCCGGGGCTTTAGATGATATAGGGACCCAGTTGTGGTAGTCCAGTATCATAGCTTTGGCCTTGGCTGGGCATGGAGCTCAACATTCTATGTAGGTAGTGGGGTACCTCATTATTAGTGATATCCTCAGGGACCCCGCTGATCCGCAGGTTTCGTTGCTGCTTGGAGTCTTGCAGGACGGCCAGCCTACCCTCCATAGAGAGATTAATTTGTTGTAGTCTGTTCACTTTGGTTTTCAAGTCGTCCTGTTTGCCTCTGGTGATATCACCATCGTCCTCCAGTGCTCGCACCCGGGCCGTCATAACTTCAAAGTCTTCTTTTACCAATGCGATGTCAGCTGCAAAGAAGACTTTCATCTCTTTCAGCATGTTTTGTGAACCTTCCCTTCACCTTTCACTTGTGACGGCTGTCTGGATTGAAACTTCTAGACAGAGGTAGCTTTGTCTAGTGTCTAAGAAAATCAGGCATAGGAAAAATACATAAGATAAAGTAGTCCCTACTTAGTGTTTATAGTTAGAGTGTGTGTGTTAGTGTGTGTGTGTGTTAGTGTTAGTGTTAGAGTGTGTGTGTGTGTGTTAGTGTATTAGTGTTAGTGTGTTACTGTGTGTGTCTGTTACTGAGTGTGTTAGTTTTGTGCGTCTGTTAGTGAGTGTGTGTTTTGTGAGTGTGTCTGTGTCTGTCAGTGAGTGTGTATGTATGTCTGTCACTGAGTGTGTGTCTGTCAGTAAATGTGTGTGTCTGTTAGCTAGTGTGTATGCCTATGTTAGCTAGTGTGTATACGTCTGTTCGTGAGAGTGTGTGTGTGTCTTAAGCACTTACTGACTGCCATTCTGGGGTCAAAAATTAATTTTGTCCTTATTATGTAATTCCCAGCAATTCTCACTTTAATGAACAACCCTGTCTCATTGATTGTGATAGTTTAAATAAAATTAAAAAAGACATTTTGGAAATTGCCAGGAGAGGGCAGCCGTTGTATGCACATGTAAATACTGAAGCCATTAAAAAGTGGTTTTGATGTTTTGTTGTAAAAATAGGTAATTGTGTATCTGTACTGTAGTCAGAATATGTATTAGTGCTTTAAATCTAGATAGTATATTTATATTGAATGCATAGCAGATAAACTGGATGAAATCCTATGTCATGTGAAAATATTTGCATCTTTGTGTGCAGTCACCACTATGTGTCACTATAGCCTTGTCCCCTTAAAGTCATGCTGTAAAGTCTCAGGATCAGTGTGGTCAAAGCAATCAGAATAGGAAAGGACAAAACAATGCATTAGACAGGACTATCCCGATATATGATTTCCTGTTAAATTCTGTTATACCTAGAATAGTAACATAATAGTTATAGTGGATTCAGTATAAACAGGGTCAAATGGTTCAATAATATGAAGAATACTCTATAAACACTTTAACACTTGACAACGACTGAGTAGAAAATGGTGAAATAAGCACAGAGTACTGGCATGAGTTAACAGTACCTTAAGAATGCAATATATGATTTATTACAATAATAGGTCACATATTTTTGGGTAGTGGGAATTTGTAGGTGTGCCCCTTCTTCGTCTCTCCACTCAGCTGGTGACCATCTCCTGTCTGCGGCACTGCTCATGCCCTTCCTCCAAACTTGTGCTTGCAGGACTTCATGACTTCCTTTCTTTTGGAACAGCCTGTCTACCCCCATCAAACTCTCCCCTAGTCTTTAATCATTTAAAATATTTCTCAAAAACCCATGTATTCAGAAAAGCTTATGGCCTCCCATAGTAACTTTTATTTCACAAGCCTGTCTCTTGCTCTCTCCTAAAGGGCCACACTCCATTCTCACCATCCAGTATTGCTACTTTCCCACCTTGTCGTTTGGTTGCTATCTCCCTGTATTCCCTTCCTTTTGTGTTTTTATACTCCACTTGCACTACACTGTAAGCTCCTTTTTTAGCAGAGTCCTCATCTACCTATTGTGTTATTGTCTCATTTATCGTTAAATTTGCACCTTTTACTATATTGTAAAGCGCTGTGAAATAAGTTGGCAATATATAAATGCCAATAATAATAATAAAACAGTAAAATCTTTGAACCTTAACTTTGCTCTAGTACTAGGACAGACTCCTCACTGCTGCCCGGTTCTCCTGCCATAAAGTTATTAGTCCCAATGAATTTTGTTCTGTTAGATGCATCAAGTTGAAGATGCACAGTGCACGCATGGTAATCACCACAATCCACCAGTCCAGTGCTTCTCTATGAGACACATTGAATCCACAGTATCACATAGAATATGTTACATGCTGCCATTGCATGCCTAATAGATTCAATAATTAGCCAATAGATGTCAGATAGCCATAAGTAACAATGGAGACTTCATACTGTAAGCAGTGCCAGAAACTGTACTGTTTTTATATATTCATTAAGATGAAGTGACTTTGCTGCTTGGACTGTCTCTTTAAAGCATCACTGTCATGTTTCTAATCTTTTTTTTGCTTTTAGTTGTCCTTTCCTTATTCCCCTTGTATCTTAATGATTATATTCTCCCCCCACCTATTGTCACTTGCTTTTATGTATTTTTATTATGGTTTCTTCCTCGCTCTTGATATTGTTCTTGTTAAATCTATGGGATTCTTTTAAAATGATAAAATGATGGGTTGTGCTCAGATTACCTAGGCAACTAAAATGGAACTTTGCCAATGCTCCACTCATTGCCAAAGATCACCGAACATCATGCTTAAAGGGTCACTGTAGGCACTGAAACCATTTCATCTCATTGTGTTGGTTATAGTGTCTGGAGTTGCTTGGTGTTATCCCTCCATTCAGTGTTAAATATTTTTTTAATAGTTTAACCTTAAATAAGGATCCCTTGCCACCCACAGTCTAGCCCCAACTTAACGTATGGCTAAGGCAAAGACTGCACACTTCCTTCTAGCCATACCAATTCATACCAGCAATGGGTACAGTGATAGGTTGCAACTAGTCAGCTGACACTCTTAGTCAATCACAGCTGCCCTTCCAACTTGCATCTCTGCTGCCTTGTTCATTTAGGAGGATGGGTGATGTAGCCAATCACCTGTTTTACCACTACTGTCGCTTCAAGCCTTGCTTTCCACCAAATTGGATCAGTTCAGGATTATCCTGGTCACTTTAACAACTCTCTTGTGGCACTCGACATACTAAGACCTTGCGGTCCTGGTGCACTAGCTGCTGGTTCCAGTTTCTCAAAATAGAAACTGATCACAACACAGTGAAGACGAGGCTGAGAGAGCATGCATGACCTTTGACTTCAGTGCAAGGTAAGAGTCTCGACAATAATGTCCATAAAGAGTTTTATCAATGCAGCTACCCACATGGCTGTCTCAATTGACCGATGTAGCAATGGGGCCAGGGCATGGGCCTGCACTGGAATGACACACTCCATGGTTACTCTCTAGATTCAAGACACTGACCAGTGCTAGGGACATTACACCCTCAACACCACCTTCAATTTCCAGTTCCCTACATCTAGAGTGTTTGGTTTGGCAGGTACTGTGTACTTCCTGTTATCTTTACCGGGTGGCTGGACAGTGGCTATACCTGTGCTTCTATGGTGATGGACTTATGGATTCACACGGCCCCTCCAAGGTTCCTTGGGATATGCCTCCTGTATTTGAATAGGCTACATACTGTCACGGGTGGCGGTCCGAAGACTGGGACCACTGTGTGCCTGATGTAGATAATAGGAATCTCAGCGTGGAAATTGACTATCAGGGCCTGGTGCAGGGTAACCACACACCCCCTGGTGTTGAGCACCAGCATTTGTGCGGCCACATACCACTGTCACTGTTTCTTACCGTTTCAGGACATCCATTCGGGAGACGAATCCCGTCCCTTGCCACCAGTGTAACGGATCCCCTGTACTCAAACTGAGTATATCCGTTGTAAATCTCCAGAGTCCCAAGTGAAATAGTGATTATAACTCTGAACTACCCAAACATCAGCCTAGACTTGATGATGGGTACAAATGAACTGTTTTATTATGGCCCACTTATATACACAGACCCCCAGCATGGGGTCTCAAGCAAGGACACAGCAAAATACGACCAAAATACTCCCACAACACGCCCTAAGTCTCTGTGTCTGCCAATTATCTCCCAGGCACTAGAGGTACAAAATATAAAATACCCCAAAATACATAGAGCACATATATGATCCCCCACAAATATTATATCCCCAGATAGCCTGGATCTGAGCGCCCTAGTTGTCCTAATAGCGCTCAGATTCCATGATCACAACCGAATCGCCTCCGGGGTAAAGTTTTGACCGACTGCACACGTTGCGCCTGCCCAAATCAGTTCCAGAGAATCAGTGGTAGCGGTCTGTCATTTTTGGGAGTTCCAAACCGAACAAAAAGATGAACAGTTTCCCTGGCTCATAGGTAGCGATTGTTTGCCTTTTTCGTGCGAACAATCCTACCGAACAGCTCCCTAGCTTGTCGTGGGAAGAAGCAGGCGTACGAATGAAATCACCGGTGTTCGCAAGGTTGAGTGTCCGACTTATATGTTATAGATAGAAATTCTATTCAGGTCCCCTCCCAACAAGAAATACAAGATTACCTTATACCAATCAGACTCCCTAAGCTTCTCCCAGATCAGTTGACAAGACCCCAGGAGCGGACAGCCTCTCTAATCTTTATTAAAAACATTTCTCCCATATTTTAGCCCCTCACCTCCTCAAAGTCTACCAAACAGTGACAATCACTGGGTTACTACCAACTGAAATTATTTTAGCTATAATAGTAACTATCCCCAAACCAGATAAAGCTACCAACAATCGCAAACATTTCCAGCCAATCTCACTCCTAAACACTGACACCAAGATGTACGCTAAGGTCTTGGCTAACAGACTATCCCCCTTGCTACCCTCATTGATTAAAGATGACCAAATGGGATTTGTGCAAGGATGACAGGGTCTAGACCAGGGGTAGGCAACCTTTTAGCAGCACTGTGCTGATATAGGATTGTGATGTCCCGTAGCGTGCCGATCCTATTTTTTTAAATATTGGTGTGTATGCTGCCGTATTCTGCTTGTGTTATTTTTACTGTAATTGCTTTGTATCGTTGTATTTGTGCGTATATGAGCAATTATATTGTATATGTTCATTAGTAGTTTATGGTATCGTGTATGATACATATGAATGTGGGCTGTATATGAGGGCTGCTTGTAGAATTGTGTGTGGATGGATATGTCACATTGTGTGTATGTGAGGGGCTGTTTGGGGTATTACATGTGAGAGGCTGCATGTGGGATTGTGTGCATGTATGTGGATTGTTAGTGGTGTTGCGTATGTGGGGATTGTGTGTATGTTTGTGTGTGGGCTGTTCGTATTATTTGTATGAGGGAAGGCT